TGCCTATAATCCCAGCACTTGAGAATTGGAGGCAGGAGGATGAGCAGTTAGATGTCATCCTGGCCTCCGTGAGCCCTGTCTCAAAAAAAAAAAAAAAAAAAAAAAAAAAAAAAAAAAAAAAAATACCGAAAGAGTCCTCAGAAAGGAGCCCAAGGAGGGCTTTGACTTCTTTAACAAGTAACCGTGTCCACTCCTTCCAGCAAGAAACTGCACGTGTCCACCCACTGTCCTGGCTTTCACACGACTGGGCCAGGAACCCAGACCTCTTGGAGGTACTCAGCAAAGTTACCCCTTCTTATCTTGTCTTCTTTCCAGAAAGAGGAATCTTGATGGTTGAACCCTTGGGTCATGCTCAAAGAAACTTCACCCCTTAGTACCAGGTTGTCCTCGGCCTGGTTGGGAACATCCACCTCTTGTCTAGGGCCTCCAAATGCAGCGAGGCCCAGGGGGCTAGCCAGGTGGGGACTGACAGCTGCCTTCTTGTCTGGCCCTTGCATGAGGACCAGGTGGAGACTGTGCCCTCATGTTTCTGAGTCTGGGGATACCTCAGGCAGTGGACAGCTAGCATGGGGCTATCTTGAAGCACATCTATCCTGTGTTGGTTCTGCATCTCACTCCCAGAGCTACCCAGGATGACAGGTACCTGGAGGATGCTGGGGCCCCTGCAGGGTGAATGGCCCCAAATAACCTCAGGTTCTGGTGGGTGATGTGATTCTCCCTCAGCGGTGGGTGGTCCTGCCGTGTGCTGATAGTTGGGCAAACTGCCCTATGGCTTTGTAAATCAGCAGTCCAGATTGGATGGGAAACTTTTCCACTTACTGCTGCCACCCAGCGGCACGTATGGGGAATGTCTCATGGGCTATGACATGGGCTAGCCTGGGGCCTCTCACAGGGATAGTCCAGCACAAGGACCAGTTGCTGGGACGATGTAGAATTGTTTTGTCCTTGTGGCTAGAGGAACAGCTGACCATGGGCCTGAGTTCAGGAGGGAATCAGGTGGAATTGTGGGTGGCGGCCTCTGGAGAGGCTGTGTGTTACGTAGCCTCGGGTGGCCTGGACTGTGGGGATCCCACAGTGAAAGCTCCTTGTGGTCAATGTGAACAAATGGGTGTTTGTGGAGTGTGGACTATTCATATATGCAGCAGGAGGGAGAGAAGCCCCTCAGGCCAGCACGAGTCAGTCCTGGACACACTGTGGATATTTGCCAGCTTGTTTATGAGTCATATTTCCACTGGAACATGGACCCCACAGGCAGGATGCTGGTCCCCTGTGACCAAGAGAGCACCCAACAGAGACTGGGGAAGAAAGAGGTGATGCTAAGAGGGCAGCAGGCAGGGCCTGGGGATGGTTGAGCACTGTAAGGAGGTGCCCATGGATCAGGCACTAAGAAGATGCTCAGAAACCAAGCTGTGTCATTTTCAGGTGACTGGGGTATCTATTGACTTAGGCCATCCAAGGGCCTAAGATGGACAGAGATGGACATGTGTCCAGCAACTGAGGGCATAAAGAGGAAGATTAGAAGTTTGGCCAGAGAGGAGTGGCTGCAGAGGCCAGAGAAAAGAGGGTCTGGTAGAGGGTTTCATGTGGGATCTGGGCTCTGAGAGGAGCTGGATTGAATGGGACCCCTCAGGAGGTACAGCTGGGGCTCAGGCCACCAGACTCTGTCACAGCAGGGTAAGTGATGCCCGCCTAGGAGCCTAAGTCACGGGGACTGCAAGTCTGGCCAGTGGCCCTGCACAGGTTTTATATGATGCAATTAAAGCTCTTGGCTTTTCTGTTTAACTCAAGCAGTGCAGATTAAAGGGCATTTCTATGTAAACAGGACAGATTTGACTTAAATCACCACGCAGAGGCCAGAATTACTTACCCCACAAATGCTTATTTCCTCCTTTGATCCAGGGCCTCTCCAGTCACTGCTGGCCTAGGACTTAGAAACCTGCATGTTCTGAGGTTGGGTGTGTGCCCATAGGGTCTGCTGCAGTGGCCTTGCCCAAAGATGGGGACCCAGCTGGTGTGTCCTTTGTCAGTTATAGCAGGTCCTGACCCGTTATTGTATAGCCTTGGAAATGTCCCAGGAGATCAACTCAGGGTTTGTACAAATTTACACTGAGCTCCGTCCCCAGCCCCGTGTCTGTTGTCAGTGTCCCTGCTTCCCCTGCCTACTTGTGCATCTAGTCTGTTCTGTAACCAGTGCGAGGTTCCAAAAGCCAGTGCCCAGATTATTTTTACAAAAAACAAGAAGTGGAAGGCGTCCTTGCAGACCAGTTGTTCCAGCCTTGAATACAGGGTACAGTAGAGTGGTGGCCATGATAGCCAAGTTGGAGAGTGGCAACTCTGGGCTCCAGCCTGTCAGCTGCATGTCCGTCTCCACCAGAGGCTGCTGTAGCCGCCATTTTCTCAGTGAGGTAAGACTTACCTCTTCATGAAGGATCTGAACTCTGACCATGGGCCTAGTGGGGAAGGGCTGAGCCCTGGGGGTGCCATCGGGGAGAACCTTGAGAATCTAGAGTTCTTCTCCATGCTGCCTTCCTGCTGTTGTCTGCACCACTTCTCAGGCATGGCTGGACTCCCGAGGGTAGGTGCAGGTGCCTTGGGAAATGCCCACCTGGATGTTTGGACCACCTGCCCTTGTTCCTGTCACTTGACATTGACTGAGCCTGCAACCCCTGCCTGGAGTCAGCCACCCCTGGCTTCCCTGTGTAACTGTTTCTGTTGGCAGCAACTTGCAGCCCCTGGACTTAGGCCTGTGAGCTACAGCACCAGGTCCCTACAGGATGAGGCCCATGGAAGCCACATCCGTGGCTTCCAGCCCCACACCCCATGGGAGCTGGAACCTCACATGTTGTTTTGATTTTACAGGAAAAAAAAATAGCCCCAAATCAGGTTTTTAGAAATTATGAGGTCTCACCTCATATCCACCTGGGATGCGATGGCCCCCTGCCCCTCCAGGCTCAGAAGGATATGACACCAAGCAGATATAGGGCTGGGCAAACCTCCTGAAGTAGGGCGAAATGAGATCCTTTGAATGTTGCATCTGTGGGCTGTTCAGTCATTTAATCAGTGAAGGAAAGGGGGCATTTTGGGGGGACAGAGTCTCACTGGTAGCTCTGACTGGACTGAACTTGCTATATAGACTAGGCTGGCCTCAGAATCACAGAGATCCACCTGCCTCTGCCTCCCAGGTGTTGGGATTACAGATGAGTGCCACCACGCCTGGCTGGAAAGAAGACTTTTTAATACTTAAGATTTTTTTCTCATTAACATGATCGCCAGCATAATCTCCCAAATGGCATCCTAAAAACAAGCTGTGCGTGTGGCCTGTTCCCAATGTAGGGGCATCCAGAGAGAGGAAGACTCTAAGGGTACCCCTGAACTCTAGATATGAGCGGGGTCTCCCTCACTTCCTGTCTCTGGTCACGCAGTCTTGCATTTTGGTCTCCTGCAGCAAAGACTACTGAAATGCTGGAGTATGTTTTCTGCACTGGCCCAGCCATCCTCTGGCACACAGCCAAGTAGACCTAGAGAGGAGTTCGTCCCTGTCCCCCTAGCCACCTGTTGTACTCTGGGGTCATCCTAAGGAGCCTGAGCCTGTCCTGGCTCCTTCTCCTTGCCGGGACCAACAGTGGGCTTGTCCTCATCGAGCCCAGCACAGCCAGGACTCAGAATCCTGCTGCAATCCGGTCTCTGTCCCATGTGCCTGAGTGTTTCTGGTGTTCCTCCTTAACACTTCTGCAGAACAGTATTTGGGGCTTGAGGCTTTTTGTGGTTATTGTCTTCCATTGCTGCTAGAGAAGAATGCTTTTCCTACCTTATCCCAAAGTGTTGGGCTTTAAAATACGTTCCATTGTTCTATGCTTTGAGTTTGAGCAAGGCTTGTGTCCTTTGTGTCCTGCAGATGGGCATGAACCCCGTAAGGTAGTGCTAAGTGGCCTGGCAGGAGGGTGGTAGGCCTGTGAGGCACCCCCATGTTCTTCCCAGGAAATGGAGGAAAGTATTTCCTACTCCTGTGGTCACTGGTCAGGGTGGGAATGTGCCAAGCTGCACTGGGGTATTCAGTTGCTCTGGATGAGACATAAAACTGAAGGACCTTATCTTCCTCCTGCATCTAGCTGCAAACCAAAGGTATCCTCTGGCCTTGCCCCCAACCCAAGGACACTGCCAGCTGGCTGGTTGGAGGGGTTCTTAACTCTGCTTTGCATCTCCTTGAGGACTCTTAAGGCTTTGAAGCCACCTGGAGTCAAACAGAAATGTTAGGAAACCATTGGGACTTGCTCCTGGGGGCCCTGAGTGCTGGGCTGGGGGCTCCGTGTCCCCCTCCAGGCGGGATCCTTTGATTGCAGATGGCTTGCCTGGCACATTTTATGTTTCCCTTCCTGTATCCTTTGCTTCTGTGGACTATTTACAAGAACCATGTGAGCTTTTGTTGTGCAGAGTTTCTTGGCTGAAACATCACTTGGGTGTTTTTGAAGTCTTTCCCATTTTTCTATAACTGCTCTTGAGATCAGCTGTAGTTGAGGGTGTCATTTGGCCACCATCTCTGCACCTCAGCCCATCCCTAGAGGAGGCAGTGGCCTCTCTGTAGTTCCAGTGGACACTACCTTGAGTTCATTCTGTAGGTACCGGGGTAATAGCTTTGGTGGGAAGCACCGCCAGGCTAGGCCAGGAGTTGGGGGCCAGGTGGCGTTCTTGGATTCTTCTTGTACTCTGAGGTCAACAGTATGGGGCTCAGCTTCAGGGAGGTCCCAAGTCACACTTTGAACAGTGTGCCTTGCTTGCAGGCAATGAGGCCTGGTCCCAGAAATGTCTTCGGCACATAAGGGTATCTGTACATTCGACAGTAGGAAGCTGGAAGGGGCTGGTGTTTCTGGTCCTACAGATGAAGAAGTCCCATAATGTCTGGGGCTGGTGTCCACTCAGGCTGCGGCCTCAGAGAGCTCATGTCTGTTTCCCCCTCTGCCCTGCTGAGCCTCACAGTCGCATGTTGCCCTGTTCTGCTGCAGGAACTGCTCAATGGAGACTCCAAGGAGGGGCCTTTCCGGGAGGACCAGGGTCCTCTAGAAGGTGAGTCCGGCTCCAGCAGGTACTCCTAGACTTTCCCTGACCATAGGGTTCACACCACAGAGCCACTGACACACAATAGTGTGCAGGAGCAGGACCAGTTAGTTCTCAGTCTCCAGAGCAGTTAGTTCCCTAGCACATAGCGGCCCCCATCACCTTGATTTCTTACCCAACAGGCAGCTTGGAGCGGCAGTGGGGAGAGGCGAAAGGTTGAACTACAATGTCCCCAACATATTTATTGTGTTTAGAGCTCCAGGACTGAGCACGGAGGCCAGGCTCCATGGACTAGTGCCCTCAGATTGAGCTAGCGGCAGGGCTGCACTGTGTGCCAGTGTGGAGTGATGGGGCAGTCCTAAGCACACCATGTGTGACTTGAGCCACATTCAAGTCACTGTCATGCACATGCATCTTTGATGGAGTCAGTCCCACCTGGGGTTGTGATCCTCACAGGACCAGTAGGTACAAGGATTGACCTATAGGTCCATCTTCAGACAGTGGCTGAAGCTGAGGGGCTACCAGCACTGCCTCCTGGGAGTAAGGCCCTGAGCATCGTCCCAGCTCACCTAGACAGACACCTGCCCAACAGCCCTGGGCTCCCGTCTTGAGAACACAGTTTGAGACCCAGAGAAAATAGTGAGCCTTGAGAAACAGAGTTTCTCACCCATCCACAAGAAGGGAGGGAGACAAGGACATTTGGCTGACCGCCCCTAAGTGCCTATCAGTGGTTCCTGGATTGAAGGATGTTGAATGACCTTATGGATAAAGAGGGAAGCCTGGTGATTCAGGGACTCACTCCCCTGGAGGTTCCTGACACAAGAGCCACCCTTTTTGTGGTCTTGAAGGGTCTTCTCCAACCCTCTGTAGATTGTCAGCACACCCAAGGTGGGTGCACCCAGCTGTGGCTGAGCAAGGTGAGGCCTCCCTCTGCTCACCTTGTCCCAGCTTCACATGAGCAGGTCATTAGTTCAGGCCTGTATAGAACAGAAGAGCAGAGATAGTCCTCCCATGTTCCCTCTGTCCCCAAACTCCCTACCTTTGCCAGGCTCCTGACTCACCTCCTCTTGTCCCCACAGTGGTGCTCCCCCCTGGGAAGTCTGAGAGCCATGAGGGACAGGGTCAGTTCTTCGGCATGGATGATGGGGGGGCAGCAAGCCGTGAGGGCCCACCAAGACTTGGCAAGAAGCACTTGAACATTGATGTAGGTCCTCTCCCTGCACACCAACATGGGTGGGTCCCTGGGTCCCAGGATGAATGGTGTGACCCTAAATGAGGGTCATGGGCATTCTAGCAGGTGGTTTCCTCAGCCTGTCTGAGGCCTTAAAGCAGGAATAGAATAAATATGCTGTTCTGGTGGGTGCATGATGTTACTGCGAACTTGGCCATGCCTGGCAGGTCAGTGCTCAGTGCTGCTGTACAGGTAACAGCAGTGGGTTCTCCCATCCTACAGGAAGGGGGGCAGTGGGAGCACTCGGTTCCAATTCCCTTTACTTCGTGTGATCCTGATCATTTGCATGAGTGGAACAGATGCCACAGGAGGGAAATCAAGTCAGAGGCATGGAATCAGCTCATACTAGGAGGGGCGGAGCTGGGCAAGGACAGGGCCTGAGAGTTGCAGGTCAACTGCCCTGGAGCTTGCCTTTCTGGCTGGGAAGTGGGAAGACATGTAGCTGGGGGTATGCCCAGTTCAAGTCCCAGCTGACTCATGTCTGTCCCTGTGTGCTGCCTACAGGCTCTCCAGTGTGACGTCTCAGTAGAAGGTGACAACCGTCAGGAATGGACGTTCACACTGTATGACTTTGACAACAGTGGAAAGGTCACCAGGGAGGTAATGTACCCACAGAAGTTGTAGGAACGGGGCTCAGGTCAGGGGTGTGGCCTCTGAGATCTGGAACCAGGCTGGTCTAGTAGATGGAGGGACAGATGATGCCCAACTGGAAGAAAGGGAAGGGGCCAGGACTGTCCTGAGGTAGGAGGTAAGGCAGAGTGGCTGCCACCTTCAGAGGTTAGTGGCAGTGTCCCCTTGCTCCAGCAGCCCACACATACCTCCCAAGAGAACCCAGCATGGTCTTTTTCTATAGCTGGGACGTCCCTAGGACAACCCTGGGCCCCTGCTCCTTCAAGCTGTGTCTGTGAGGGTCAAAGAAGCATCTTCATCGGCCATGGGACGTTAACATGCTGAAATGTGTCTCTGGGTGAAAAGTGGACCTACTTGTTTATCTAATATTCTTACATGTAAAAGGTCAGAGATGTGACTCCCTGGTTATACCTTCAGGCCACACAGGACATCCTCGGACTTAACCTGGGGATAAGTCAGTCTCTGATAGGGACTCAGTGGAGCTGAGATGCCTGTTGTGGCCAGGGGGTGGGTATGTACTTGGCAAGGAGGGCGGGCAGTGTTCCTTGAGGTCTGCCATCTTGGTCCTAGGACATGTCCAGCCTGATGCACACCATCTACGAGGTTGTCGATGCTTCCGTCAATCACTCCTCCAGCAGCAGCAAGACCCTCCGAGTGAAACTGACTGTCAGCCCTGAGCCCTCCAGCAAGAGGAAGGAGTGTCCTCCCACTGGCCAAGGTGAGGGGTCTGCACCAGGAGCCCCCCTGCTCAGATGGTGTCATCTCCATGAACATCATTCCAAAGACTGGTCTGCAGGGGCAGCCCATCCCCCACAAGCATCTACCTCATGCTCCATGCCCACTGCCCTTCCCCATAGCCCTTATCTCCCCACCACTGGTCCCAGGTTCATTACTGTTAACATCATAGAAATCCCCAGGGCAAACCCCTCTCGTTTCTACAGTGTCCCAGCAGGGCCTTGTACCTGGCGGGGCACAAAGCTGCTTAGTGAGTGAATGGATGAGCAAGGAAAGACTGTGTGAACTGTGGGTGTCGTGCAGACCCGCGATCCCTGCACCAGGGAGGCAGGATGGCCAAAAGATCAAGGCCGGCACAGGTTACATAGCATGCTCAGAAAAACAAAAGAATGGATGGATAAACACATAAGGCAGAAAGAACGAGCGGGAATAACGAGCGGAGGAATGCTTGCGAGAAACATGACTAAGCAGGAAGGTAGGGGATGAGGGAACGAGTGAGTTGTGAAGGAGTAAATGAGTGAGGTGTGCACGAACGGATAGACAGATGAGGCATGAGACAGTGCAACATCTTCCTTTCAGATCGGGAGCCAAATAGAGGCAGGACAGAGAGTGAGCTCATCGAGGACCCCCGAGGAGCCGATAGGAGGCTGTCTGCCTACAGCAGGTAAGGAGTAGGGCCAAGTGGCTGCTGCCTAAAGACCTCCTGGCTTCCTGTCAGAAAGGTGCTAAGATAGGCCTTGTGTGCTATGAGGGATGAGGACACCCTGGCTGGGCTGAGCACCGTGTCTGAGAGATGGGCCAGGCTCTGCCAGGCAGTTGCCAGGTTGGCCTGACCTGGACACCCAGCTCTGGTGTGCTGTTGTGTTCCATTCACCAATGTTGGCAGTAAGGGGAGCAGGAGCCATTGTAGCCCCAGTTAGGTGACCAGGGAACATCCCAATATTCAGGGCCAGTCAGGCCCCATGAGGCCCATAGTGGGTGACAGGATCCTGGGTCCTGAAAGGCTGCTGTGAATAACTGTGGACCTTATTTCTCTAGACAACACAGAACTTCCTCTTGCCTGTTTGGGATAGTGGGTGCTGATTAAAGATTCCACTTGGGCCCCTTAGATTCCCATCCACCTTTGCAGGTGCCCCTGTTTTCAAAGGATTGAAATTCTAGCCTCAGGTAGTCAGGCCTCTTCTCTCTGCTCTACCCAGGAGGCCACATGCTGACCCCCAGCCTTGTTCTATGCGAGTGCCCTATTGTGTGGATGAGAACACTGAGCGCAGAAATCATTATCTAGACCTCGCTGGCATCGAAAACTACACATCTAAGTTTGGTCCCGGTAGGTACTGAAGGACCCTTGGCCCATAACTCCTCTGGGTGTGGACACCCCCATGAAGGTGCAAGCAGGCAGAGGAGTCTCGAGTTTTCTATAGCGTTGGGTCCCAGTAAGGTGCCCCTGCCTCACGTGGACACTCTGGGTACCCCCTCTGCCCAGATGTGGACAGACACCTTCCCCTCCTGTCCCTGGCAGGGGCCTGGAAAGCAAGGTAGGTGAGTACCCAGATGTGTGTGCTAGATGTGCCCTGGCTTAGGGGAGATGCAGGACTGCTAGGCTTAGGTTCAGAAGCCCCTTGCACAGTTGGGGGAACCTGCATGTTAGCACAGACTTGCTAGTTTGTGCAGGAGAGGTGGACAGTCAGCATTGTGGACACTGGCAAGCCTGCCCCACTGCACATTCCCTCCTGATCTTGCAGGACCCCTTATGTCCCTCAGAGATTCCTGAACTGCAGCCTGGCTAGCACCGTAACAACTGGAAGCCAAGTCCCCACCCACCCACCTCATTCCTACTAGCCATCCCTGAGGGCAAGGGGTTGTCAGCTCAGGCAGCTCATACGTTATGACTTTATCTCTGAGAAAGTTCTTCAGTCTGCCCCAGACATCCTGGCTAGAGGTCTCTGGCTAAGGGTGACCCTCACCTGGGAAGAGCTGGCCCCATGTGCTTTGTGCAGTCCCTGTCTCTAAGGTCACTGCAGGGGGCTGACCGAAAGGGCTTAAGCATTTCACAAAGCTTCAGGCAGGTTGGTCCAAGAATCTATGAGGGAGAGAGGGGGAGACGGGGAGAGGGGGAGGAGAGGATATGAACTCTGGCCCTTCACTGGAGTGTTCCCCAATGTAACACAGCTTTCTGTCCTCCATTTAGGCCCCCTACCATAATCCAGACTAGACCTAAGATAGAAACAAAGGTGAGCCTGGCCAGGCATGAGGTTGCCAAGGTGACCGGATCCCTTTTTGAGAGGTGACATCCAGGGTCCCTGATGAAGTACTTAATCTCAGCTAGAGTCCAGGCTGTGCCTGGAACTGGGCTGTTACTTCTTCCGACCCACTGCTTGAGGCATGTGGCCATCTGAGCTCTGACACAGTCAGTGGCCACCTCTGATGGGAACCTCTGCAGGTACGACTTGTGCTCCAAGCCTCCCTGTGAGTTACCACTGTGTCCTGTCTTCAGGGTCACCACCTGAACAAGCCAGGCAAGAACACCACGGCAGGGCCACACACCTTCCGAGCAGGTCCCGCTCCCAGGAGTCGGATGCCCACGCCATGCACCACCGCAGGTCCCAAGTGCTAGCTGACCACATTATACCAGCCGCTGAGCCTGCTGCCCGGGCCCTGACTGCACAGCCCCGGCTCAAGGGGCAGGAGAAGCAGTTCCTCAGGTCCCCCAAGGGTTCAGGGAAGCCACTTGGGATGCCAGGCAGCAGCAAGCCTGGCAAAGTTCTCAGCCACTGTCTGCAGGCTGCCCCACTGCCCCAGGCCACTCAGGATGGTCACCACCTCCCACAGCCCCCACCGCAACCCCCACCGCAGCCCTATGGCCACAAGCGGTACCGGCAGAAGGGCAGGGAGGGTCACTCACCACTGAAGGGGCACAGCCAGCCTGCCATGGTAGAGCATGAGGTGGTGAGGGACCTGCCACCTGTGCTGGGGCCTGAAGGCTACACAGTGCCTGTGATCCAGCGACATGAACACCACCACCATCATGAGCACCACCACCACCACCACCATCACCACTTCCACCCATCCTAGTACCCAGACAAGTGTCCTGCACCCTGCCCGCATGCCCTTGAGCACAGAGCAGGTGGTGGCATGTGCCCAGTGGTGAGTACAGCATCCCCTGGTCCGACACCCAGCTGCAGATGTCAAGTGGGCACCAGGGAGATGGTGCCAGGCTGGACATTCATAGACAAAGCCTTCCTCTTCTGTGTCCTTCCTCAATACCACACGGACACCAGCACACTTGATGCCACTGATGGTTTGCAGGAACAAGTGCTCCTGTGTGATCCATGAAGCCCAGACCCGAGGGCAGAAAAGCACCTGCCCTCATTGCTGCTTGCACAGTGTGGCCTGAGATGTTTCAGGGACCGTGCCCAGACATGCTTGGCATCGTGGTGCTTCCATCTTTGGGTGCCTCGAGTTGTTCCTGGCATAAGCCCACGAGTGGATAGAAAAGATGAAAACGTTGATGACATTTATTCATTGTAAAGTCGGGCTGGACTCAGAGAGTGGCTTTTCCTGTGTACCGTGTCCTCAGTTCCCCACGTGACACCAAGCACAGCAGAACCAAGGATGGAATATTAGCAAGAAATGTGGCGGGTATGTGAGCAGGCAGAGGTGCGAGGTGATGCTCAGGTGGGCAGCACAAGACAGCCAGTGGTCTCCAGAGCTCCCAGCATCCTAGGTGGACACGGAGAGGGCCCCGGGCAGGTTGGGGCGGGTCACACTGGGGGGTCCCTACACAAGGCTTTGCTTGTCTAAGCAAGCAGGGTGGACCTGAATGTGAATGGTCCAGTCCTGATTCTTATGGTGTAGCCATGGGATACTTTCCAAGTGTCCCTTCTACAAGGTCTGCAAGGGTGTGGGAACCTTACAAGCCATGGTTCCAGCAAGGAACCTTGCTGGGCTCCAGCAAGGCAGGATGCTACAAGGGGAACTTAATTGCCTCTTGTGAGTTTGAGCTGGTGGCATTATGTCTTCTTAGCGTAATAAAAAATGGTGCATTTTGTAGTCTATCATACCCTGTATTAAAACACACTTCAGAGAGCCACGGTTAGTCTACCTACACCTTATGGCTGCAAGTGAAGATGGTGGGCAGCTGTTACAGAGAGAGAGTGCTGTATGATGTCATCTTGGCTTATGTTGATTGATACACGTGGGTACACACAGCTTCATAGGGGCAAGGGATCTGGGATAGGTGTAAGAAAAAAAATCAGCATTCTAAACCTAGAATTTGGCTCATGTTAACTGGGACACAAGGCACCTTATAGGCTACATGGGCCATGGCTTACACAGGGTGTCAAGCAGCAATACAATCTCGTGTTTATTCTCTTTAAACATCGTGCCCATTCTAAGAAATACCTGGAGGTTTAACTGTGGTGGCTCCTAGGAGCTGGGCCCATGTGCACAGGGAGACCTGTAAGCTCTAAGCTCTGAGGACTGCTGCTGGGCATTCTGGAGCTGGAGATTATATACATGCTTGGCTAGAGTCTGCCACCTCCTCCTTTGCACATTGACTACAGTTGTGGTGTCATGGCTGTGGGACAGTACACACAAGTCTCCATCACCCACACCACAGCAGTGGGTTTGGGCAGGAGTCCCTGTCATGACCAAACCCAGCCTGTCTCTGAGTGTACAGTAGTGATCCTACACTAGCTTTGAGTTAAGGGGCCCTTTTAGGCCCTAAGAGACATCAGACAGGAAACCCTGATCACCTCTTGGGTTCAGCTGAGTACATAGGGAAATAAGGAGATTCAGTGACTGAGCTTTGGCCTCATCCATGTTATAGTATCTCAGGCAGCTAAGTCCCTAACAAGCTAGAACAGGGGTTGAACATGTCTGTGAATGCTGAGCGAAGGAGCTTGTGCCACTCTAGCCAAGGCTCTGAGCTTGACAGCAGGGCCCTCCTAGCTGTCCTCACATTTTCTTGGTTACAGCCTCACTTACACTATAAGGCAAAACCAGCAGCCCCTGGGGTTATGATCTTGGGGATACTGTCCTTGGATAAATTCTGTGTTGAGTCCCTACAAATGGCAGTACTCAGTTTATAGTTAACAGGCTGCAAATCTAATGACTATGTAGGAAGGTTCCCCTTTGTGTTTTTCTGGCTCTTGTCCTAAGACCTCAAGTCAGGCCCAGCTGATCAGTCTTGCAGTGGACCTCTGAGAAGTTCTGGGAAGGAACAGCTCGAATGCAGCTTCTCCTACCATTTAGTTTTATGGAAAACGAGGCATGTGAGGTTCCTCAAACACTCAGATTTCACAGGATTTTATTCTCCCACCAACCAAGTCAAAACCTACGAAAGGAAAACATGAAGCTGGTTTGAATGGCCGGTTACCAGGGACAGAGTTTGCAGGGGAGAGGAGGCTGAACACAGGCGAGGCTCTCACAGGCAGTTCTTGTGAGTAGTGATCCAGGACCTGAAGAGACCCGCCACCTAAGACTGACTCCTGACCACTGACAAAGGTGCCCACGTGCTCTGCTCTGGGCATGTGGCTCAGAAGCCAAAGTCAAAGCAGAGCCAAAGCAGCAGGAGTAGAAACTCCAGGCCCCACTGTGCTATGGGGGGACACATGCCAGGCAGTAGTCACTCTGGTAAGCTGACCTTTGGATGCCTAAGCCCAAGAAACCTGTGCAGGTACAAACTGAACCTCTAACTGGAACTTTATGGATGTGGACAAGGGTTGATTTCCCTGCGGAAGCATGGGGCCCCACACAGAAGCCATCTCTATTGTGCTCCCCCAGGAAGGTTAAATAAATAAATTTGCCATAGAGAAAGTGAGGCACAGATCACTGCTGCTGCTCACAGACTATGACCTACAGAGCAGAATGCTCAAGGGTAAAGTGCAAATCACCTGTCAGGTTCTTGAAAGGTACAGAGGCTTCTGTGGCCCCAGCAGAGTAAGGCTACACCCATGGCAGGGAACAGGAGGCTCAGCCACGGCGACCTGGGGCCACAGCTGCTGATGCTGAGGGTGTTAGGCTGGGGTGGGCGGCATGGCACACGCATAGAGCTATATGCTGGGCCACATCATTGGTCTCATTCTGAGGCTCCTGCTATCAGGCTGTGTGCAGAAGTCTCAGTGTTTTGGTTTTGCTTGTTACACCCTGGCTCTCAGTAGAGTCACCTACTTGAGGCTCCCAGCTCAGTGCTTAGGAAATGAAGTGGCTGGGTTCCCAAAGGAAAGAAGGCGAACTAGTTGTGGATAGCTATGGTGCCACAGAACCAGGGTTCACTGTGCAGGAGCTCCCAGGGAGAAAAACTCCTGAGAACACAGCTGGCAGGTACCACAGGACCCAGCCATACCAATGCCTACCTCAAATACTGGCTCTACTTCCAGGGAGCAGTGCCTGAGGCATGTGGTCAGGGAATGTGGTACAGATGAGCAATCCTCAGCTTACTCGCTGTACAGAAAGCACAGCAAAGATGCTTAAAGAAACAGGAGACAAGCCAATGGAGAACCACAGCCCCACTGACATTTGGCCTCCACCTCAAGGAACTATATGCTTGTTCATGAGTGTGCTGGACAGGGTAGAAGTGAAATGTAACTGCCACAAATGTTGGACAGTCGGCTGCTGAGAAAAGTGATCCTAGAATCTGGAGATGAGGCTCTGCCCACAGCAGAGAGCTGACTCCAGGGTCCCTGGGTATACCCAGCGTTGCCCCATACAATGTCAGGAGCCTGCCCTCTCAAGACCACGCTAGACATTCCCTCTAGAGCTTCTATTTGAAGGGAGCCCAAGGGGGTGTTAGAAAATGTATGTGGGAAGCCAGACGTGGCAGGGTGACTGGCATTACCGCAACATCTTGGTGGGCCAGGTCACAAGTTGACAGGGTAGTGGCCATCACTGAGTGGCATCCTGGTGGGCCTCAGCATGGTCACAGGCTGCCAGCATAGTCCCCACCCTATCCAGTTGTGTCCAAGCTGTGGGTGTTAGGAGTAGATGGTAATGACCTCACGGCCACCACCTCTGACCAACAGGACCCTGTTCAGCCCCTCAGTCAAGACCTCAAGAAACTCCATGTCTGGGGTGATAGTTAAGGCCATGCTGATCTTAACTGGTCATACCCAAGACCCCTGTTCATACTAAATCTGATAAATCAAGGCCAGTGGGAGATGAACAGCCCCTGGGGGCTCTGGGGCAGAGGAAAGGGGGTCAGTGCTTGGAAAGAACCAGAGGAAGTTACCACTTCTTAGGGATGCCCTGGAGCCTCTAGTCACTGACCCCGTCCCTGTGAAACAGCAGGCCACTGGGTCAGAGGCAGCCCGGTAGCTGTGTCTGACCAGAAAACCTGGAGGAAACATCCCCCTGCCACACTGTTCAGGACGCAGCCAGCGAGGCATTTGCTGCTCTAGGGTCCCAAGTGGCTAACAGAACCTCAGAGATGCCCAGGTACTTGTCACCAACAAAGCACAAACTGCCAAAGTTACAGCCCATAGGTCAAGTCTTAAAACCAGGCATCTGTCCTCCCTGACCTGCCACTGTGGGGGGGCGGGGGGACTGAGCTCAGATGGCCCTAGGGAACAGACTGGGAAGACATCCCACCTGGGCAGGGAGGCAGTACTGGCTCTGATGAGAGCCCTGCTTATGGGAGGGAGGTCACAGAGACCAGAAGTGGGCAGGCACACTCAGAAGAGCAAGGGTGGCCCTCTTCCTGTGGTGGCTCACGGTTCTATGCACGTAAGCTGAGGGGCACTGTCTGTGGGGCATTCAGGAGCCTGGTTTGTGTCCCAGTTCACCCTGCTGTACATCAAGTCCTGCCAGGCAAGGAAGCACCATGTGAATTTGCTACTCTCCCACCCTCAGGTGTCCACACTGATCCTGCAGTCTTGTCTCTGATGCTCCCTACACAAATCGAATTTACATCCCAGGATAGGAACGTGGCTCTAGTTAAGTGCTTGCTAGAATGCCTGAGGCCCTGAGCTTGATCCCCAGCACTGCAAGGAAGGGACCACCCTTCATCCTCAGCAACTTAAACTCACTATCCTTTCTCCAAATGGTAAGAAGGACCTAACCCTTCCCCCAGCCCTCCCACTCACACCCCTTGCCCACCCCGTCCCATCTCTAAGGCCTCTAGGATAACACAGGGTGTGGGCAGGTCGGCCAGCATGGTCTGGCATTGGTGACCCAGGTGGACCCCCCACTGTACCATACATCACTGCCTGCCTTGGGGCACCACTACATGCCTTTCCTAGCCCAGAGGACAGGCTTTGAACTGGAGAAGCCAGGCCTGCTGAGGTGCTACAGTCTTAATGCTGTCCATTCCCACTAGCAGGTAACACTGGAAAAGGATACAGTTCTCGTCTCCTTGCCGGTTTTTAGGGGGCCCTGGCATATTCAGCAGGACCAGCTGGGCATCCTGGGACTTGCTGAGGACAACGCCATTGAGCTTCACTGCAGTGTGCATCCTCCTGACGTTGGACTGGTCCCTGGGAGAAGGGCGGTGTGGTGGGTAGCACAGTGGGCTTGAGGCCTGCAGCAACCTGCCCGACCCACGCACTATGCTCATGTATGCTAGATAGAGCAGAGTTCAGAAGCCCAGCCCCGAAAAGTCCAGAGAACCATCCTGAGGACCCGCTGTGGGGCAACTTACTTAGCAGCAAGAAGCATTTGGCTGTAGATACACTAGAACTGAGCATCTCTAAACTGTTAAGCTTCTAGGGACATAAAGTAACGCTTAGGTAAACTACAACACACTCAATAAGCTGCAACTGCAAAGCAGCCATTGCAGGCAGAAGCAAGGCATAAGGGCACAGTCTGGGCAATGATTTACCTGTTGAATCCCCGGCATTGCTCCTCATTCTACACCTAGTGCTGCCAAGCAGCAAATCTGCCAAACTGTGGCCCAGTACTCAGGTCTAGTTGGAGTTGGATGCTCAGAAAGGAGAGGTCCCAGAGTGCCTCCTACCCGGCCGTGGAACTGCTAGCCTGGCACCGTTGGCTTCTATAGTGTAGATGGGATTCAGCAGAGAACTAGGCTTGGGTTCAGGAGCCCCCTACCCTGCCTTTAGCCAACCCAGATGACACTGCCCAGCTGTGGGTGAAGGACAAGAGCTTCTAGCAGTGCATGGTTCAGACCCATGTCTGCAGCCCCTGGAGTAAGCCAAACGTTACTGGTCTCTGCCATGTACTCTGGTGTTTCATGGGCACAGACTATTCCAGTGTCCCCAGTGGCCCGGGTTAGCAGGAACCACAGCCACCTAAGTTTGGGGACACAGCAGCTTTATGCTCACTAGCACATAGGCACTCAGTTACCTGCAGGACAGAGGCTGCCTTCTACATCCCCATTCTAGGGAGCTGGACCAACCGCACATAGAACCAATTATCTAGGAAACCACCTTGGGAAACCTGCCAGAGAACTACCTGCCTCAGTGTATCTGCCTGCATTGCAACATCTGGCACATTCTCAGATGCTGATCACAGTGTGGGATCTGTGGCCAGTCTGTTAATATCCCTACATAGCCTTGACTGCGGCCCTTCTCAGTGGAAGACACAGGGACAGGAAGACGCCTCCATCTAAGGGTCACAGAGAGGACTAAGATGCCCAGGCTCACACTCTCTGATCAACTCAAATCTAAGCCAAATAAACCAGCTTGTGGCTGCCATTTGCCAGGAAGACAACAGTCACTGGCCCTTTATCTCCTCTCTCCAGTTTAATTTGATAAAATTATAGGTGAGCCTCAGTGGCACCATTCAGGCCTTTCATTACAAGAACCCTGAATTTGTGGCCTGGAGAAGTCACAATTACTGAGTGTCTGGTTCAACAACAGTTCCCAAACTGTGACAAACAAGAGCCTGTGAGGGGCTGGCAGTCACAGAACCTGATTCAGGTTTGGGTCTAGCCAGGTTTGTGTTCCAGAGTGGCATGTCCTGTGGAGGCTGGAGAGGCAGTAGAGAACTTAGGAGAGGGCCTCAGCTTCCAGAAGCTAACTGAATCCCACCCCTGCTCTCAGTAGCCCAGCCATCAATCAGTAAACAAGGGAAGTATCTTGTACAGATGAGCTTTCTAGACAGCGTCCAGGCCTGGGGGTTCAAGTCTACACAGCAGCCCTGGCAGCAGGAGTTGGAGTCACACACCCTAGTCTGGGTGCCAGGAAAGCTGCCCAGGACCATCCAAAAGAGAAAACGCATGCACTCAAATGTCTACATGTGCTAACAGGTTCACATCAACACACACATGCAGGCAGGTACACTGGCATGCATAAAAACACAGCACACATGCACTCAAACTAGCACACAGTGCTCTAACTGGCACACACATGCATGTGCTCTTAACTGCTGCACATGTGCGCTAACCAGCATACAGACGCACTCTAACCGGCACACGTTCGTGTCCACACATGCTCCAGGGAAATTGTCAAAGGAAACACATCTTTGGCTAGGCTGACCAGGAAATGGGCCTGATCCCTAGAGCATCTTCTTGATCATGGCCAAGTAAGGCAAGCCTGAGCACAGAAAGATCGGCATCCCACGACAAGTCCCTCTGTGCATGTTCAGGCATCTGTGTGCGTGCATATGTACACGTGCACAAGGAGGCAGAGTCAAACCCTGTTCCTGTGCCCAACTGATTATGTGTTTAATAAACTATTGGTGTGGGGAGGCCTTTTAGATCTGCAGAGAGCAGGAAGCCTAGAGAACTCTATTTCAGCAGGTCTCAGCAACCTCACCTGGCTAAGCTGGAGTAATTCAGGTCGTGTACAGAGACCTCCTCACCAGTGCCTAATTCTGAGACTGCCCTGTGCACTACCTGCCTGTGGTGGACAAACAGCCCAGAGAAACTGGGGAAGGCAGGGGCAGGGCCAACACAGCTGTGGATTCCTGCCTCTGCCTCTTGGCCTTGGACTCTCAGCCCTGGAGCGCACAAACAGGCACTCTGACCACACAGAGTTGATCCACATCCCTTCTCACTGGAGAAGAAAGAACAGCAGCCTCCTGGATAGACAGCCATGGCATGCTGGGCAAGCATTTTATATCAACTGAGTGGACCTGGAGGAATGTGGGTGAACTCACTCATTGCTGCGGGAAGCACATGCCCTCAGAGCAGCTCAGGACCAGCCCTCTAAGGCTGTCTGTGGTATTACTTCTAGAGAGTGACATCTGGGTATATGCCCTGAGCCACTCTGAGTGCAGGGGGTGAGGTCCAAAGGATGTTCTGCACACACACAGGGCTGTGCACACACAGGCATGCAAGGCAACTGAGTCCTAAGAGACAGTCTGAGAACGCAGGTTCACTTACAGGTTTCCCCACTCTCTACATGGAAGAGAAGAACACAAAGAATGCGTTACTCCAGCAGAGGGCTTGATACAATTCAACCAAGTACCAATGGCCATGCTGGGCTGGCCAAAATGGCTGGCCTTGGCCCTTCAGGGGACCCCACCCAACAGGACTCCCAAGGCCCCTCTTTACTCCCTCAGAACTCTGAACTCTAGGGTCGGCCCACCATGAAGACTCAGCCAAAGGCCCTCTTGCAGGGTTGGGGGCCGTGTCAATAGAATTTAACTGTGCCAGTCATGTTGGCATCCCCACAGCTCCACAGTAGCCACAAGGACCTCAGCCAACTTAGGGCTTTTAGCCAAGGCAAGAGGCACCCCAGAGGTCCATGGCAGGCTAGATTTTTTGGGATCTGGTGCTCTTTCTGAGAGGAGTAAGCTCATGTCTCCCCAGTTGTGAACAACCATCAGCAGCACCCCAACCCCCTTGTGGCCTGGCTCACTAGTGCTGAGAGCACAGCTCTGGCCCACACCTTGTTCTCTGGCAGGTCTACAGGCTGCTCCTCAAAGCTCCTTAAAGGGCAGAGAGGAGACTCCTCACTGTGGGTTGGCCGAGACCACACACAGACACTCACGGCTTCAGGCTGAACAGGTCTTTGAAGCCCGATGCACCGGTGTCCTTGTTTCTGTGCTTCTCTGCTATCAGCTTTTCTTTCGTCCAGGTCATCTGCACTTTGTCGGGCGTTGGTGGGGCTTGGGTTCGAGCAGCTGCTGTGGTGTGGGATGCTGTGTTCCTGTCATGAATCAGCTGGGCCTGGGGAAGGAGCAGCAGAGTGTCAGTGTAGACAGTCACTCACCAAAGCCACCCCAGGGACTGGGAACCTGACCAGTAAGGCAGGCTGGTCACAGAATGAACTTCAAGGGCAACTAACCAGCACCCATAGACCACTGTTCCACAGATGGCCTTGCCACTGCCCCCACCTTCCACCCCAGGCCCTGGGTTGGTGGCATGTGAGACTCTGGAGGGTGTATGACCACAAAGGCCTGCGAAGGAATGGCCTTAAAAGAGACGGATGTCACGTGTCCCACCATCCAAACTTTTCCAGGTATGAAGTGACTACAGAGATGCCAGTCCTCAGCGCCACACTGTACCCAAAGGGCATGGGGGGCCTATCTGCCCTTCATCAATAGCCAATGCCAAATGCCATGGGGGCTATGTGAATCTAGAGCCATGCGTTTCTGAGCCACCCTCTGCTCCCACCAGCACAGACCTCACATGTTTGGGGACAGATGGTACCAACCCTACCTACTGCCTTCTCCCCACTATACACACCTCTCTCTCCCGCTCATTCTTTGATAGCTGCATCTGCTTAAGCATCTGCGACCTCTGTTCCATCATCAGTGTCTTCTCGTAGGTGAATGCAGAAATGTCGTTTTCAACCTAGAGAGTCCCAAGCCACACAGGTAAACGGTGTGCACAAAACACTGTCATTGCCAAACACCAATCCCACCTTCTGCTTGGTCAAGTGGGCCTGAGTAGGTGGCCATGCATCCTAGGCCTGGATGTCTGCCCCTCAGGAGTCAGAACTCCAGCCCAGAGCAGAGAAGGCATAAGAGCTTGTGAGGGGGTAGGAGTGTGTGGTCTGCAGGAACAGGTAGACATGCTCTATAACCTACTCACACCCCTGCTGGGGACCCTGTGATTATCACACAGGCAATGATGGTGCTGTCATCTCACACTGACCAAAGGCACCTGTGTTCAGGGCTCTGGATGGGGCACTGCCAGATGGTCTGCAGGGGCTGTGGTCTAAAGGGACACATGCTCCCAAATAACAGTGTCGTTTTGTGTCTCAGACAAGCTCATCACCAGAGTTATTAAACCAGAGGAACCACACGAAGAACACGGAGAGCAGACTCAGCGAGGGCGAACCTGGGACCCTCTAGCTGTTGACACTCAGAGCAGCCCTGTGAGTTACACCCAAATACCTGAAATTTTATGCTTAGGTTGGCCCACTTGTCATCTGACAAGAGACAGAGACATGGAGATTTGTGTTTAGGGGGAACTAAGGGAGAGGGGTTAGCTCTGGGAGCTCCCACCCCGTGCTCAGGGCAGGTCTGTAGCTGAGGGCTTGGAAGCTCAGCCCCTGTACATCACAGACACACAGGTGCCAGGCCCAGTGCCCTGCTGCTGGTCTCCCTGCCCAGTCTCAGGATGCCCCATGAGACCTGGTTTCCTCCCAGGGATCCTTCCTGGGTAGTTTCTGTTACTAAGTCACAAGGGTGGTTTCTATTCCTACGACTCTTCAGTGCAGCCAGACCTAGAAGGCCTTCTGCAGAGAGGGCTGCAAGCAGAAGCCACAGAGTCTGCAGGTCCAAATGGCCGAGGCTGTCCCAATACAAACATACAGTTCCGAATAGCATGTCCAGGGCACAAAACCCAGCAATGCCTCATCTGCCCTCTATCTTACACGACGTTCTTACTGAGGGAGGAAAACAATCCTGTACGACAAGGTTCTCTGGGAGCCGACAAGAAAATGCAAGAGGTTGTCAATAATGCAGGGAGATGCCTGACCTCATCCATGATTAAAGAGAAGCAGACGGAGACAAGCAGTTTATAAGTTCCAACAAAGAGAACCTCTGTAGTTCCAGAGCCGGGGCTCCTCTATGACCACAGGAAGGGAGTGGGCCCTTCTGCCCAACACAGCTCTCCACATGGCCATGGAAGGGGAATGAGTCCTTCTGGGACAGCCTCCACCAAATGTGGGCCCTCTGTATGTCTTGTGGGAGGGGACCGAGGCCTTCTGGGAACATTTTTCTCCCAGCTCTGTTCCAAGGATCGGGCTGGAGAACCACCCATATGCTATGCAGGGCCATCATGCACTGGGCACCATCCATGATCCTAAGATCCAGGAGTAACCCAAGCAGGGCACACAAGTGAGGACATGGCACCCAGGGAAAGCAGAGGCAAGAAGTGAAGGGTACATGTCCATTCACACAGGGCTGCTCAGTCCTCAGGCATGGCCCTCAGGCATGGCTGGGGTGGGCATTTCAGTGTCAGCCTCACTTTCTAAACATGCAAACACTGCAAATTCTATCCACAGTGTAACCAGTTTATTCTACCTCTTGATGTCCTATGATTCACTGATAATTATTTATCCACAGACAAGCTAGCTATTTCTAGCTATGGAACTGCGAACCCATGTGGGCAAAAACACACAGCCATAGGCTTCAGACCTTGCTGGCCACACCTTACCCGACAACCCAGAGACTATGCCCTCAGAAACCACACCCCCATGGGCCTTGCCCACCAGAACTGCCGTCAGCATGGGGGACAGTGAAACCACACAGGTCACCAGAGGGACATGCAGGGATGCTGTTCTAGCCCCACACTGTCTGATTTCAGAACTGTAACATTTTCCAGCTCACAAGAGCACCCACACACGCACCATCTCCACCACCTCCACCTCAGCACTGATTCTGAGGTGGTACAGAAACATCTGCAGGTCCTTCTTCATCTGGATGCTGTTGTCGTCCACCTGGGCCACTGTGAAGATGCGCATCCGGCACTTCCGCCACACCTGGGTAAGGGAGGGGACATGTCTATGGAGACTCGGGCAAGGCTATCCCTTTGTGTAGTAGTGTCCCTGCAGCCTAGCTGCTGTCCTATGGCCCTGCAGCAGACACCTTGTGCTGACGCAGCAAGAAAGGCAGCAACATGAGCATGCCCCCATCATGCACGATCCACCACACGTCGATGTTCCCATCACTGAAACGCTCTTGGTTTTGCGGGAACAGGTCAATGTTTTTGGCTACCAACAGTGCTTGGTGTGCTGCTGTCGTGTCTCGGACGGTATCTGTGGAGAGAGGCAGTCACAGGTGGGTTCAGGGCCAGCTGAACCATGAGACCTCTTGGGGTATGGGTGCCTAGTTTTCCTCCAGAGAGTGGAGAGACTGCTATGGGCTAGGCAGGGTCACATGAAGGCCTCTACCCAGGTGGGTATCAAGGGATAGCCTTCATGTCACCAGCTCCTCTGTGGCCTCCAGAAGACTGTGTGTCACACCCCAGGAAAACCCCCAAATGGGGACCAGCTTAAAAGTTAAGGGAGAAAGTGTTAAAGACTATAAAGAGGCCATTTGCTTTGCCAGTGACTGACAGCTTGGCCAGGGCATTCAAGGTCCCCAAGCATACACTCTTTGGTCAGGGACTTGGGTGTGACAGCAACAGGCCTGGGGACATCACACAGTCCAGGGGAATGACTGCCATACCCACCCACAAAGTTCTTCCAGGAAAAAGGATTGTCTGTCTGCTTCCAGGTCTCGGGCCAGGCCATGAGCACAGTGTTGTGCTTCATGCCCCCAAGACCAGCTGACTGGATGAGGTGGGACGCGCCATCCCGCAGATTGGAGGACACCACCAGCTGACAGAAGCCTTTGGTCTTCTCTGCACCCATCAGGGACCGGATGTTCTGCAGGAGAGGGAAGGGTCAAAGAACAATGTGGAGGCACGTGTCAGGGGCATCGAGCAAGCCTCCTTCATGGTGAGGGGGCCCCATACTGACACCACAGCCTGGCGTGAGACTGGAGGCTTTGAGGGGTGCTGAGGAGCTGCTGCACACGTGTGAGAGACAGAGTGAACATGGCACCACAAGGCACAGCTGTGTGTAGGTAGCAAGGAGGGTCATCACCAGGACACACCAGATAGTGTCTTAAAGTGATTTGTATCTTTACTGAACGGCCCGTTATGTTATTTGGAGTTTAGGGGCCACATCAGGGAACTGTAGCATCAAAAGCTTCAAGGAAATGGGCTGACTTTAACAGCCTTTAAGCCCCCTGAGGGCTCCAGCCAGCAACACCAGACAAGCCACAATGTCAGTCTCCACTCCCATCTGCTTCTGCTGTCACTATGCCAGGCATCTACCAGGACAGTGCCTCCCTCTCCAAAGCAGTTAGGGGTCAATGGGGAGGTGGGACACCATGACCCAGGACATGCTGTTCACTGATCAAGAGCCCTGGGAATGTTATGCTTCTTCTAGTGGCCAGGGTCCAGGGTTCCCTTGGGTACAGGGTGTCAGATGGTACCTTGAGGAACAGCCCCAACAGACTTCACACCCATGTGGAATGGTGACTCATTCAAGCTTCTGTTACCTCCCTTTTGGACCAAGAAGACCCCTCACTGTTGGAAACATTTTCCATACTTCATGGTAAGTACAAAGAGGAGTCCCTCTCTAGGCAAGTCCTGATGGGACTCAGACTTAGAGTGACACTGTGAGGGACCCTGCAATGGTACAAATGCAGTTTGTACAAGAAGTAGATCCGTCTGGGGGACTAGAAGAGAACTGTGAGGGATTGAATGGTGTTCACAAAAGAGGCACAACCATGTCTACAGCCAAGACCTAAGAAGGTGACCTTATTTGGAAAAAGTGTTCTTGCAAAGGAATGAGAGCACCCTGATTGCCCAACTGGACCCCGAGCCCAGTGACAAATGATCCTTAAAAGACAGGCAAAAAGATACGAGATGGGGGGAGGCAGCCATGTGGAGAGAGGCTGAGGCTGGAAGGTGCCACCTCTAACCCAGGGATGCCTGGAGCCCAGAGCTGGAAGAGGCAGTGTGTCTGAGCACAGCCTGCCCACACCTCAGTCTCAGACTACCCAGTCCTGGTTTTGCTCCAGTGATCATGGGACACAGAAGACTAGGGTCACTTCCCTCCCTCCTTTGCCTGATTTCAGGTGCTACCCGTGTCAGCCCCACAGTGACATCACTCTGTACTGCAGCCCCACTACTGCGGCTAACACACCATCCTACCCATCCTCAACCTCTCCCGTCACCCCCTCCCTTACTCCCTGTTCATCTCCACTGCCCATCACCCAGGGACATGCGAACATGTTCTACTTATAATTCTAGTTACAGAATTCTGTTTAAGTTAGGAACAACCTAAACACTCTGTCCTAAAAAGGGAACAGGCCAGCAAGTGGAAGGCAGGAGGCAGTCACACAGGGACACAGCTGTTAGGAGAGGACAATGCCTATGGTGGGGGTTTCATAGAAGTACCACAGGGGCTGACTCAGCAATGATAGCATGTGGCAGGGTTGTTTCCCTTTTAGCTAAAGCTGGCTAAAGGTCAGAGCACAGAGAGGACTGTGGAGTGCTGACCAGAGGATGCATCACCCAGGGCACCAACATACCATGTTCCTGGCTTGTGCTGCAGTATTTGCTTTTCCCACATGACAGCCTCAGACAGTCAGAGCTGGGTCTCAGCTGTCCTCGGCTTCACTGCTAGAGAAGCTCCTTCCTGGCCTAAAGCTTTAGAAGCCACGTCCTGGCCTGGCAGGCATCTGGCCCAGGATGGCAGTGTGGACACTGCTGTTCCAAGCCCCACTGTGAATCAGCACAAGCCAGCACAGCTGCCGAGAAGGCTGTGGAAGGAACCCGCACAAGAGGAAGACGGGACCCTCAGTCAGGCGGAGCCAGGTGCGTAAGTCCTGAAGACCGTTTTATGCCATTAACTGGTGCAGCAGAATGGAACAGGAGCACCAGTCCCGATAATTAAGGAAACACTAGGGAACAAGTTTCTTACACAGGCTTTGATAATTTAAAAAGGCTTTCCCAAACTACTCTCGTTTTATACTGCCAACTGACAGTCTGATTGGAGGACAGAGCTCCACCAAAAAAAGTGACCCAAGTCCTAGATGTGGACACAGGGCACAGATGGTCCAATGCGCCTTCCTGCTTCTGTTGGTCAATGAGGTGAATAATTCAGAAGCCAAAGCCTTCCCCAGGGCCAACAGGAGTGGCAACCACGTGGCTTCCTGTTTATGGTGTGTGTGCCTAACTTAGGCCCCTGGAAACCTTCTCTGTCTAAAAGCACTTGGATATTACAATCATTTGACCAGAGGTGGATGTGGCTCAGTGGCTAAGCATTGCCTAGTATGTGTGAGGCCCTGGTTTCTAACCTCAGAACTATAAAAAAATATAAAAGAATCTGACTGTTAGACATAAAGAGAAAATTAAGACCACAGCTTGCCAGGATAAAGAGATGGACATGGAAGAGTGGCCTGTCCCCACTGGCTATTCACTGTACCACAAACACCTGACACAAAGACAACAGGAGTCCACGAACACCCTTAAAACCTGCCCAAGGGGTGGCCCTAGCTCCAAGGATTTCCTTCAAGGTGTGACCCTGTGTGGGAAGAGACGTGTGAAAGGACATGTGTGTGACAGTGCTCAAAGCAGACACTGGCTGCCTCCATGCCCAAGAGGAACATTACAGAATAATGAGTGTACCACTGAAGACAGGTCCAGTTCCCTCCTGTAACAGACTGCCCCTCAGACCAGCCTTGGATCAGATACCACAGGCTTACCCTGACTAAGACAGAACACTGTCCATCCTCAAGGGCAACAGCTAGGATACTTAAATCCACAGGTTCAAATCAACGGCAGCCAGCGTTTAGGTCTGAGGAGCCATAATGCTAACAGACAACTGCTGATCTCTTCAGAGGAACAAGAAAAGGACCTGTGGCATCTTCTGCCTTTGAACTTGCTGAACTCGAGTGGCCTGTGAGGCTGACCAGGCCGGTGGTGCTGCCACTGGCAATGCCGCAGGAACACGGCTCCAGGTCACTGACAGCCACTACCAGACACGCCCACAATCACTCCTCTGAGCATCTTCCCACCCCACATGACCTGGACGACTACTGCAGGTTGCAGACGCATGCTGGCTCAGGGGCGCACACCTGGATGTACGCGCGAGACCAGACACAGGTGACCGCAGGAGAAAAGCTGGCTGTTCACCCCCACCAGGGAAAAGGGAAGAACCTAGACACAGCTGCCAAGATGGAGCCCGGTGTGAGGCCCAAAACCAAAGAGAACGGCAGAGGGAGGAGTGGCCCCGACAGCTGGGGCAGCTGAACACGGCAGGTGAGCAATCAGAAAGGTTCCGGATAACACAACAGAATGTCCCAGGAAAGTGAAGGTGAGGGTGACAGGATCCCGGCCTCAAGAGGACAGCAGAGGCTCGAGGTAACCTAAGGGGCTCATGGTACCATCTGCTCTGTTTCTGCTTAGATTGGAGATTTCTTACCTTATGTTTGAAAGCAGAAAAATGAAAAAAAGCATTTGTGGGAATTCAGGGAGTTGTAGAGCCAACAGACCATGGCAAGCAAGCACTAGAGATGGTACCAGCATGGCACAGAGCTGGTTACTCACCCCTCACCCACAAGTTCAGGACACCTGGCAGCACACAGCCTCATCACCCATGATCTCTAGACGCTAGAGGGAGGTGAGGTGCACAGAGAACCATGCTAGCAGGCACTAGACAGTGTGCCAAGGTTGGGCACAAGGGGCCCTCAGCTCGCTGGTCCCACAGCTGCTGGGAGGGACTGTCACCAACCTCTCCACATCTCAGCAGGTCACACCCCTTGATTCTTCAGGTCTCACTTTTGCCCACTTCAGACTCACTAGCTGTCTTTACTTACAAGCCATGCTTCTAAATCTCAAGATTCAGGACATACTGCTCAGCCCTCCCTACGTGGCTAGACCCCTGACCTCATTTACCCGCCACTCCACCTGCCCACCTCTTCAGCCCGCTGGGCCTCCACATGCTTGTCTAAGTAGGTGCCCTCCAGCACAGAGCCCACGATGGTCAGTCCCTTGCCAGCCTTTAGCTGTGAGGTGAAAGACAGGAGGCGGGGGTGCTTCACACACTGCTCACTGTCCAGGTTCAGCATCACCAACACTTGGGGCCTGTGGTGGGACAGGCAGGGACATCAGTTACCATAGCAACACACAGCCAGCTTTCCAATGCTTATCAAGCCAGCTGGGATGCAGATGGGAAAGGCAAGTGGAACAGAGGGGGCACAAAGGTGGGTGGGTCAGGTCCTGGCCCAGTGTCTGAGGCCCCAGGTGCCTCAGCTGGAAGTGTTTTGCTGGGCCTCTGGGCAAAAACTCCCTTCTGAGGGAACACAAAGGGCCTGGCTGTCACACCCTGTAGCAGGGAGGGACACCTGAGTCCAAGGCACCTCCATCCACACTGCTGGTGGCTTACTGGAGGCCCAGGACCCACCTCTGGCTACTCTTCCATGTCCTGCCAAAACTTACCTCAGAAGGTCAAAAGCAGAAGCTTCTGATACAGCACTAAGGAGTTAGCAGGAGCAGGGTCCTGGCTCTATCCTGCTACCTGAGGGGCTGTGGCTGTGGGGTGCACTCACCTCCAGTTCTTGGTATGGGGGGGTCCATGTTCCACACGCAGCAGGGCATAGCGGGCAGCATTCAGTGACAGACCCCTAATGCCATCGCCCCACTCCTTTTCGGCTCTACAAGGGTACGGAGGGAAGGCCACCTTGTTCCAGCAGCTCTCTAAGAGCGTGCCTGGCCAGGGGATCCACAGGGTTTCTGTAAACCTGAGACAAGGGGCTTTCCAAGACAGGCAAGGGCTCCTGGGTAGAATGGGGAGGTGAGAGCAGCAGGAATTTCTTGTGTGAGGCTGACCACTGAGGATACCAGGGACTGACGCAAGACTAAGGGTGGGCTGTGACTTGGAGGCCCTGAACCAGACTGGTCTGAAGGCCCGGGGCCAGGACAGGACAGTCAGACAGGACAAGGGTGGCTTTATGGGCACAGAGCTCTGAAATTTAATGTAGTTCCTAGGACACACCACCAGAGTATGTGTATGTACAGTGGCATCACACATCAGTGCTGTGGTTGATGAAGTGCAAAGTTCCCTAAACACACTCTAGTAACAGCTGCAACATGCACAGAGCCACAGATGCACCTGCTAATAAATGGAATACACGCGGAATAAAGAAACCTGCGTAGCTATCAGCACAACAGCTCCTGGGCAGTAAACCAGCAGACACCTGAGCACAGGCACACCACCCTGGCTGGATCTGGGGGACAACTACATGGGACACCCAGGTCATAGGTCATCCATCCAATTCCCAGGAGACTTCAGCAGCAGCACCCAGACTCAGGCACAGAACAGGAAACTGCCCTGGTTCTGTGTGAGCATGAGTGTGATGAAGTCCGGCACCCTCACCCCACCATCTGAGGGGCCACTCACCCTCGGTATTCGATGTACTTGTAGATGCAACCAGCGATGAGCATGGCGAAGAGGGCGTAGTACCAGGAGCAGATGAACATCAGGGCGAGGCAGAGACTCATGCCAAGGAATGAGAGGGTCCTGGGGGGCATAAAGCTCAGACTCTGGCCCTCATGGCCCTCAACCAGCACCCGAGCAGTTACCTCACCAACAGCACTTCCCCCATTACGAAAATCTTCCTTTAACAGCAGATCAGTTCCTGACCCCTGGCAATCAGGCCTGCACTTCATTCATCCCTGATGTCTGAAATGTCTCCCAGGGACCCTGCTGCAGCCCAGTACAGCTGCAGCTTAAAGACAGTTCTGACTACCTACTCTTCTCCTGAGGTGCACACAGCACCTCAGCCACACACAGAACAACAGAATGGGCTCCATCCACCTACTCAGCACTGCGTCAGAAAGGGGCCTTAAGAAGACAAGCAACCCTGGGATCCCTACACTCTGGACTGGGGAGAACCAGGCTGACAGCGAGATGGAGTCCACAAGACTCATACAAGTGCGCCAGAGCACAAGCGCAAAGCAGACCCTCCTTAGACCTCAGAGGCCAGGACAGGCTGCTTGTCAAGGGCTTCACTGCAGTTCCTTATACAAAAACAGTTAAAGACCCAGCCTAGGGTCTAAGTACAGCAGTAGGCAGCCTCAAAGACACACTAAGTGTGCCCAGGTTTGTGGGCTCCTGGAGATGTCTGCACAGAAGACCTTACCAGTGGTAGAACTTGAAACGTGGACGCCAGTTGGGTGTGCGCAGCAGGGTCTGTACAGCACAGGCCAGGTTCACGAACATGTAGCACATGAGGAAGAACCTGGGGCAGGAGGGCCAGTGAGGCTGCTGACCACCCAGGGTAGCACAGCAGGACCCTGCCGCTGCCCTGCCCACACACTGCTCACCACCTCCCAGTAAGACCCTCCCCGTTCACAACACAGTGTCCCCTCCATGGGCCTCCCTGCCCCCAAACCTGCCTAAACACATCAGCTGAGGGTCCCTATGACCACGTCACATCCCTGGTGTCCTTGGCCACATACCAGAGAGACAGCCATAGTACCCACTATGGCAGCTGTCTGTCCAGCCATACTGGCCTCAGCTAGCCCAAGAGCTCTGTGCCCACAGCACGGCTCTGTGACCTGCTGTACCTGCCCTGTAATGTTCACTGCTTGATACCACAGATGATGCCCAATGTCCAGGGAGGAAGGAACAGAGGCCAAGTCCCCACACCCTCACCCTAGCATGCTTGCAGGGCTACTCACATGGACAGGATGGGGGCCACGCTGTCCAGGGAGGCGATGAGGATGCCTGTCTCACAGATGAGGGCTGTGAGCAGCAGGGCCCATGTGGGCTCCCCGTTGGCCTTCCCATGGCCAAACACCTGCACATGGGGAAAGGTAGGTGGGCTGGGAGACAAGAAAAGAGCCTCCCCAAGGGCAAGCGGAACACCCACTAGGCAGTGCCATCTGAAGTCTTCAAGACTTACAAGCAGACCCTAGCTCTGGTCACACGCAGCAAGGTCCAGAAGAAAACCCAACAACTACATACAGAGAAGTTCAGGGGAGCCGGCTCTGCCATACCTGGACCACAGCCTCCAGCCTCCAGAATTCTGGGAAAACAACTTGCTGTTGTTTAAGCTGCTGGGCTGTGGTGCTTTGATGCAGCAGCTCCGGGACTCTCATGTGTGCCATCAACCCATCAACCTCTAAGTTCACTCCAGGAGCTTCAGTGCCAACTGCAAGGCCAGGTCCAGGGACAGATACCAAGTCCCTAGTTAACATCAGTGGGACCACAGTGTAGCCTCTATAGGTCATAGACAAATATGGCTCACTGGGAAGGGTCCTTATGGCCTTGGGGCTGCCTCTGCCCCCACAATCCAGCCAGTGTTGGGAGATGGCCAGCGTGGAGTCCAGAGGCAGGATAATATGTTCCCTTATTTTCATCCTAAAGGTCCAGCTCTGCAGGACAGCATCTCAGAGACCCTCGCACATCCAACCCTGACCTGCCAAGGTCCCCTATGCACAGGGCAGCCAGCACTACCTGCTGCAGCTTAAGCTGAGGGCTCACCTGCAGGAAGGGGATGATACCATCTCGGGCAATGGCCTGCAGCAGGCGGGGAGCCCCAGTCAGGCTCTGTAGACCAGCACCACAGGTAGAGAAGAAGGAGCCAATAACAATGACCCAGGGGGATGGCCAGGCCAGCATGCCAATGACCAGGTTCCCCTGCAGGGCCTCCCCAAACCTGTGGGGGAGCAGAGAAGGTGGTCACCAAAGTGTCCAAAAAGCAAGCTGAAGACAGATGAAAATATAAACATCTCTGTCCCCCACTGGAGTGTAAACCCCTGGGGTGGGGGAGAAGATGAAGGGACCAGACCAGAGGCCCACCCCAACTGGGACCCAACCAGCTCGGCAGACTCCCTCAGAAGTAGCTTTGGTGGCATGGACACTGTTCTCCTGGGATCCTCTCAAGAGCGGGAAACCCTGGCCAGAACTAAGCTGGTGCTGGCCACTGCGCTTCTGTAGAGGTGGCATCTCCATGGGTCTAGTAGTACTGCAGAGCCTCACCATGAAGTTCCTAAGACCCCTTGAAGTCATGAGGTTCTGACAGACATGTACCCCAAGAAGGAAGGGTCCACAGTGGCCCACCAGGGTTCTTCTGTTCCCTTAGCAGCGGTCTGGGGTCTCGTCCTATCTTTCTCACCCTCACTGCTGTCCATCCCCAGCCCTGGCTTCATCACGCTTCAGCTTTGCTCTGAGAAGTCCCCAGGCTCCAGTCCCAAGGGGTGGACCTCAACACTTTGGTCAGGCAAAAGGTAACGGGACCCCTGATAAGGGCTTTCAGTTCATATGCAACTGTGGGTAATCTTAATTTCAAAGCTGAAGTCTCCCTCAGGAAAGAGAACAGTAACTACAGTCTGTTCACATAGCAGAAAAACCACCAACGTACTTATCTCTCAAGACCACACCTTCAATGCAGGCTCCAAATAGCACTATACAGGAAAGATCTGAGCTGGAGTCAAGGAATGGCCAGTTTTCGGGCTCCAAGAAGATGCATGCTGGTCAATGGGTCCCATTCCAGGCTCCACGTGGGCCTGGACCAACCCTGTACCCAGGGCCACCTAAAGGAGATATTCCTACGCCCTGCCCCACAGCTGTATCCCCTCTACAGTCCTCACGGCACTGTCTTCACATCTGTCTGGCTATACAGAATATGGCCACAGGGTGCTCAAAAGGTGCCTGGTTGGTGGCCCAACTAAGCTAAGTGACTACAGCCAGTGTCTTTGCCATGAGCTACACGACAGCAAGGCTGATGATTAGTGTTATATGCAGATCTAAAGGTGTAAGGTTTCAGGTTTTGTAAGGGAAGTTGTGTCACATAACAATCATGAGGGAACTGGAGTCCAGGTGCCATATCTGATCATGGCACATCATACAGGGCGGCTGCAGTTCCAAGCAGGACAGGCTGCAGTCGGGACCTAAATCTGCAAGGCACACAATAGATGGGTCCAACAGTGACCTGAGTGAGGGGACCTGAGCAAGGACAGTAGGACTAGAGGTTAACGCTTTCAGCCAGGGTGCCGTTGAGGATACAAATGAAAGATGTGGTCACAATGGCCAGAATAGTCCCTGTAGGGATGGACTTCTGGGCATCCTTGAGGTCCCCGGAGCGGTTAGATCCCGCCATGATCCCTGCAGAATAGACAGAGGGCCAACAGTGACAGAAAACTGCTCACAGCAAGACCCATCTGTGGGTCAGAAAGAATGGGTCACGACCACCACTGCTTGCTGGGAGAGTGGTCTCCGTGGACTGAAAGACGGAGACAGAGCAACACACACAGAGACCACGAGACAGAGACGGTCACAGACACATAAAGTCAGAGTCACAGAGAGATAGTTAGGGGGCAGGGCACAGAAACAGACACGGAAAAGGACAGAGATAGACAAATACAGAGACAGCAATGACACAGTGGGATACAGAGAAAAAATCAGAGACGACAGACAGACAGACAGACAGACACAACAGGAGACATGGAGACAGACATGGAGAGACAGAGACAGCAACGACACAGTGGGATACAGAGAAAAAGTCAGAGACGACAGACAGACAGACAGACAGACAGACAGACAGACAGATACAACAGGGGACATGGAGACAGACATGGAGAGACAGGGACACAACGACAGGGAAATCAGAGAGAAACAGACACAGAAACAGAGGCAGATGCAAAGGGGCAAGGAGACTGGGAGCCTCACCAGTCACGGAGGGGAAGTAGATGCCAACCAGCATGGTGAAGTAGGTCATGATGTCCGTGAGGACGTACGGCAGTCCTCCAGGTCGGCTCTCCTCGGGCACAGGCACGGAAGACACACCCTTCTTTTCCACAAATGCCCCCTTGTCTGAGTATGTGCTCCACAGGTTATCTGTGAGAATGGGCCAGGCTAAGAGACTTCCTAATGAGAACACTGTCATGGCGCTCCCACTGGACAGCCCACGCCTAGCATCAGGGCTCACAACTGCAGGTGGATGGCTCTTGCTCTCCCATGACTTGGACTTCAAGCAGGTACACTCAGTTTGTGAAGATCCCTTATGACAAGCTACCCTCCTCAACCCTCACTAGGTGACCCTCGCGTGTAGCACCCACTCTCCTGAACAGCTGCCCAGAGTCCTGGGGCCCTCAGAGTCGGGGCAGGACCTCAGAGCCTGAAACCCTGCTAGCCCCTCCAGTGATCCAGTGGCCACCTCCACTGCATCCCACCCAAGCTTGGTGTAGTCTCATACTGCTTGTGAACACCCCAACAGTCTTCCCCACAGGCTGCTGAGACCCTCCGTCCACCTGCATACCCTCTCTGCCTCCTATGAGACCTGTGTAGGGAGAAGCCTCCTCCAGGGATCTTGCCTTGGAGACTCCAGCAGGGCCTGCGAATGCAGGACCCTCGTACTCCTCTCCCCTACACCCAGACTGAACACAGCCCTCAGCTGCCCACTGACATGCCGCTCTGTTGGGAGGTATACAGGACCCCAACTTCACATGGGGTAGACACACAGACCAAGTGTTCAAGTTTCCTAATGATTCCTTTTCTCTAAAATGCTGGTTCCTCCTATTTGTAACCAGTATATGGGAGGCAAAGGCAGGAAGATCACCAAGTTCTAGGCCAACCACAGCTACATAGCCATTTCCAAGCCAACCTGGGCTAGAGTGAATGCCTGTCTCAAAGACTGACTGCCAGGTGCCACCCAGCTAATTAGCAGCAACCAAAGTCCATGCCAGTTTGGGGTGTGGCTAGACATGATCCTGTTGACTTGACTAGGCAGGAAGGACCAGGGCCCTAAGAGCTGCCTCAGACAACCAGGGCAGTGGCTGCAGCTCTCCCCACCAGCACTCACCCAGGAAGACGCCACTGGCCACACCAGGTATGCCTTGGATCTCGGTGACATTGTTCTGCATAAAGTACTCATCACAGGTGGCACTCAGGCTAGAGCCATTGCAGAAGAGGTGCCAGAGAGCAGTGGTCACCGTCTCATTGTTGACAACCTGCATCTTTGCACAGGCCTCGAAGTTACGTTTTGCCAGTGTGCGGTTTCCAAGAAGACAGACCCTGGAGTGGAGAGGGGGGCAGGCCTTATTTTCACTGTTCACAGAGGGCCAGGCAGGAGGCTCCAGGTCTGAGAGAGAGAACCAGAGGGCCCAAGTCCAAACCCTGGAAAGACACTGCAAGACAAACCAGCAGAGGACCTATGTTGCCGCCCAAGGATGGCCTGGGACTCACGGGATGTCGGGCGGGGCAAAGGCTGTCTTGATGACACCAGCGTAAATGGCCAGGATGGAGAGTACGACGCAGGCCAGGAAGACCAGTGCCAGCTTGTTGACGTATTTGACACCCACAAAGACCACCACGGCCATGAGGGCCAAGGCGCAGCTGCCATACACACGCATGTTGTTCAGCAGCGCAGCAGCCTCCCCATCTGCCGACTCTGCCTGGAAGACGGCTGCACTTGGGGAGATGTAGGTCTGTGGGAGAGAGAAAGGTCAGCAAAGGACCCAAGTCCTGCCCAGGAGCTCACCCTACCCTCATACCTCAGGCTTCCTCCCTGACATGGCAAAGAAAGCCAGTTAGGCCTAAGGCCACTGGGAACACTGAGGCGGACCCTTGTGAGCTGCCCAACACAGACCCAGGGTACCAGGCCTGCAGTTTTTTCCTGTCTAGTTCCCTCAAACTACTAGGGCCAGCTGTGACCAGCAGTACAGGTGATGGAAGGGAAGCTGGTAACACACTTTCGTGTAGTCTCTCAATGACCAACCTGCCTCAGTCAAGTGATCCCAGGTAAAGGAGAGCCCATGCGGTAAGGGGCCAGGGACTCCTGTCAACAACCTCAGTGTAGTCCAGGGCAGCTCTTCTGTCCTTGTTAATGTCTGGCCAGCTATCAATCACAATCTCCAGAGAACCCCAGAGTGGCCAAAGTGTTCTTCAAATTGCTCCACTGTCAGAATGGAGCTTTCTTATAGACCAACTAGAACCCCAAAGTGGGGATGACGATCCAGCATCTTCTTACTGTGTGCAGCCCAGGACTCACAGGGGCACACACAACTTCCTAAAACATGGAACCACGGGCCCCAGCCCCGACTCCCCAAAGTAGAATATGCATTTGCATGTGCCCCCAGACATCCTTTCTCAGAAGGCCTAGGAAAGCTTCCCTGCAGGCTCTGGGAAAGCTGGGTATCAGAAAGGCAGTGGCCAGCTTCACAGATGGAGATGGTTATGGTAATGGTTAATACTGCTTATCAACTTGACAGGACCTAAAATCACCAAGGAGAAAAGTCTCTAGGGACATCTGTGATCCAGGTTAGATTGGCCTCTGGTCATACCTGTGAGAGTACCTTGATTAGGCTAATTAAAAGTGGGAAGACCTACACGTGGGCAGTACCATTCCCTGGTCTGAGATCTTAAACAATTAAAAGGAGAAACCAGCAATCATCTCTCCCTTCTCCCTGATTGCAGATGCAATGAGACCAACTGCTTTAAGCTCCTGCTCTTGACTTCCCCATACTGATGGACAGTACTCTCCAACTTGGGGCCAAAATAAACCCTTCTTTAAGTTGCTTTTGTAAGAGCATTTTATCACAGGAACTGGAAAAGTAACTAGCATAGAGTAAGTTATCTGGGCTTCCATGAGCCAGGCCAAGGCCCAGCTACTGCCTTGTTCCAATTTGGGGCCTTTGTCTTCAAGGCCCAAAGAGGTCAGAAAATCTGCAGGGCTAACTACATGGCACCTGAGGGGCTACAGGCACTTGTGCTGCCCAGCCCACCAAGACACTGGATGCAAGCCCAAATTCAAGTTGTAGGGAAACCCTTCTGTGCCAGGAATTTAGTGCCAGCCAGTGACCAAGACGACCAAGTAGAAGTACTTTGCCTGGAATGGGCTAGAGTCCTACTCACAGGGTTGTCTAAGTCTAATTCCAGCCCTGCCTCCTGACCTAGTATAGACTGCAAGACCTCATTTGTCTAAGGATCTAGTCCTGGCTTTGAGAGTCAGACACTGCAGGGTATCCAGAGCAGTAGGGCTGGGGACCATCAGAGAGGAGTAAGTGGGCTCACAGGCAAAGCATCTGTGTAAGGAAGACTGCTACAGACACACTCACCAGGAAGATCTCGATGGTGCCCAAGATGTACATGGCACCTGCAAATGTCGTGCCCAGGTAGAAGCAGAGGCCAACAGCCCCTCCAAACTCAGGTCCCAGTGACCGGGAGATCATGTAGTACGAGCCTCCCGCTGCAAAGACAGCCCAAGAGAAACATGGGTCAGGAGGTGACATTCAGTATGAACACTGGGCATTCATGCAAGGACAGCTGTCCCCACGAAGGGACAAGTCTACCCTCAAAACAGAAAGTACAGGAAGCCCTGGCCTGTGAACTCGTGTCTACCCCGCCTGTGGGCTGGTTCAGGTGTGCTAAGAACTGTTTAATACAAGCAGGCACAACATCCCAGGAGGCTCCTGCTGCAAGGTCTGCATATTTCCACATTATCCCAATAACCAATTCTATTAACTTGTTTACACAAATAGGTAGAGAAGAACCAAGGCCATTTAAGAATACTTTGGCTCTTTGGCATGTCCCATAACCGGGGCACTCTGGGAACAGCTGTGCTCACTCTAGCCATCATCTTTGGCTGTTCTGCCTACCTCAGCTGCTCTTGAACTCAGACCTCTGTGAGACTCCAGGAGGGTCAGGAGAACTTCTTGAATGTACCTGCCCCTTCCAGAGAACCATCTGTAGGAGCAGATTCTCCACTGCATGGCATCCCCAGGCCAGCACACTATCCTCCATCATCCAGTGGGCTGAGTCTGGGGAAGGGGCTCCCTTTTTGAACAAGTGGGAAAACAAGAGCCCCGAGGAGGGAGGCTCTCATAGTCCCTCATGTTCCCTGTAGTCTACATCCGTGACTCGGAGAGATGGGGACAGTTCTGTACCAAGCTCAGTGGCCAAGTTCTGGGGGAGGGAAGGCATCCACAAATGGTGCAAACAAACCAGTCCCTACTTAGCTGCATGCTGACACATGAAAGGTGGGGCAGAGACCTCTGGATCTCTGTCCTCTGCAAACCAACTGACTTGTCAACACTATGGATGTGTTTCTGTGTTGCCACTAATGAACTGAAAGGTGAGCACTTGCTTCCCTTTCCCATGAGATGAACAGACTCGGCCGACGGATCCAGCTAGGCTATGGCCTCACGTGAAGGATCCAGCTAGGCTATGGCCTCATGTGAAGCCCTTTCCTCTGGTTAAGCCCCGTCTCAGGCACCATCACGTGGCAAAACAGGAGGAAACAAATAGTAGCGATTCCATGGGCTCTAATCTGAGAGAGTGGCAGACAGCAAGACCCGAGGCCCAGCCCTAGCACCCACAGGCCACTCCTCATGGTCAGGTTCTCACTAACATGCCTCTGAGGCCCCAACCCGTAGCAACCCTACATGCCATGCTGTTCTAATTTAGTCTTGAGAAAGACTCAAAGTAAAAAGAAAATGGAGTTTATGGGAAATCCAGAATCAATCTAGAACCAAATGGTATGATGAAAGTCTGTCCATGTGGACTGTCAAAGATGTCAATAAGATCAGAACAGCGTCTGCTGCCATTCACTGAGCCCCACGGAGATCCAGCACTTACTCATTGACTCCCACCCACAGGGATCCCCATGAAAGGTGATGGATTCCCACTGGGTGGGTTTACCAACTCCCCCCTAAATCCCACGCCTTCCACCATTCACCCCTCACCATAGGGATCTTACAGGGCCCAATACCTTCCACTGCTCATTCCCCGCTCATAAGAACCTGGTACATTCCTCCATTCACCAATACTCCCAGCACAGGGATCCAGTACCTTCCCCTATGGGGAGGACATCTTGGTAGTAGGCTGAGACACATTGAGGCACAGTACTCCATCTGTCCTCGGGAAAGCCTGCTGTGCCCTCAGATGGTTACAGGAGAGGCCCTGGCACAGGCTGCCTCTCCCTTTATGCAAGGGAAAAAGCAGTGGTGCTTGGCAGTGGGTCACGGCAAGCACAAAAGTAAGCTTCAGAAAGATCTGAGCCCTGACAAGGTGAGTAGCCACCTTTAGGACCCAGGTTCTGTCCTCGTCACAGGACAAGACAGGCAGGGAGTGAGGCTATGCCTGCACCAGGGCCTCTGGGGACAAGGCCACTCTTTCGCTCCCATGGACAGCACAATACCCCAGTACTACATGGGAGCAAATGGTTAATGTCACTGTCACCATGAACCCGGGACAGGAATGGGGGTCTACAAACATGTGGCTTTGGTCCTGCACTATGAAAAGATGATCCATCTAAACCAACTCAAGGGTCACAGGCACTGGAACCCTTACCTGGGACCACACCGTTGGTAGCGATGGCACTCATGGAGATGGCAGTTAGCATTGTCTGCAAAGAGAGGCAGCTCTTTCAGGGAACATGTACCCCAAGATACTTCAATATGCTGGGCCTGGGACAGCAGGACTCTCCTCCACTCTCTTGACCTCAAAGAAGGTGCTAAGTGACCAGGAACGACAGGCCCATGACTCCCGAAGCTCAAGGCCTCCTGGCTTTCAGCCCTTTCCTACCCAACCCCAAACACTGTTCTCAGAACTCATAGAAACACAGGCTGCAGGCTTCTAGCCCTGGAAGTTGGGCCTCATCTAGGTGCCTGACCCCCAAAGGGTCCCAATTAGGGCTCTACCAGCCCAAGTGGCACAAGTGGGGAAATTCACTTAGATGTGAACTCCAAGGACACAGGAGACCCCACCTTGTGTCCGCCTCTTAGAAAACATCCAAGAGAGGGGGGGGGGGCGCTGCCTCTAGCAACCACCCTCTTGCTCAGGAAAATCTGTCTGTGGGCACCAGAAGTACAGCAGTCACAAGACTGGTGCTCAGGGTAGGTGGCCACAGGACAAGCAGATGGATAGCCTGAGGTGGCAACACAGAGTGACCAGTCAGGTAGCCAGGTAGGCTGGTCTGGGGTAGTAACACAGGAGTGACCAATTGGGGACAAGTGGGCGGGTGGCCTGGGGCAGGGGTCAAAAGGGAACTCCCATTTACCCATGTTACTTGAATTCCCTCCAGAAAGGACATGTTCAGGTGACACTTGGGTAATTAAAACAGCAAATGTATACTCCTCCTAACCAGAGTAAGGAAAAGGGAGTAAGTAGGGCTGGTGCACAGCTGTGGGTACCATAAAGGGCAAACTGGACATGACAAAAGCACCAGAAATAAGAAGGGGGCATACTAGAGCTGGGATGAAGCAGCTCTGAGCTCACTTCACTGCCCCTCAGGCCTGATGTATATAAATCACAGACCCGTGTCATATTCTCTTTAACAGCGATCCCTGAAAATGCCCAGGATCCTTCAAACTAGAGGGTAGTCTTGCCACAACCCAGTGAGAGGAACCTGCCACCACCCCACAACCCCCCAGCACTCAGCCCTGAGCCTGGTGGTGCAGCATATGATACATCTACACACAGATTAAGAAATGCCCCTCCCCCCAACACACAGAGTAGCTAAATAAGGTCCTAAGACCAGCAGGAAACCTGGCCTTTGACAGAAATGTGGCAGCCCAACTTTCCTATGGTGGAGCCTAACTCTCTAGGAGGTGACTCCTGGAAAAGGACCTGCAGGCCAGGCCTGGATTTCCCACAGTGGTCTCTTGGAGCCCCAGCACCAACCCCTGGGGCTTCCCTACAAAGCTGACCACAAACACTCACACAGGTACAGCACATGGACACAATGAGGAAGGATTCCAGGACGCCAGCAGCCCCCACGATCCAGGTCAGGCGCAGGAAAAGGATGACACCTAGGATATTCTGCAGGCAGGGCAGGTAGACTCCGATGAAGGTGCCCATGCGCGGGGCCTAGAATAGAGTAACCATGTCCAGGGAGGCTCACAGCCCATGCCCATGTAAGCCAGCTTGGAGCCCCACCCAAGCTATGCTTGGAGGTCATGGGAACAGAGTGACTATAGAAGGAACATGGTGGCCACACACTGAAGCTGCAAAGATGTCTAACAAAAAAAACCACATCCCAGATGAGCTGAGGCTCCAGGGTCCTAGACAGGACCCAGGAAGTGGCCAGGCAGGACACAGGGGCAAGCTGCCTGGCTCTGCTCCCCCACCAAGGAGAAGAGGAAGTTTGGGACAGCAAGATGGGTTCTCCCAGCTGCATCTATGAGGCAGGCTAAGGGCCTGAGCCTGATGCCAGGAGGCTGGAGGCATGAAGGAGAGGAGTCCAAAAAGGGCTAGACACCCGTGCCACTGCCTGTCCGTGAAGCTCAGAAGTTGCAGTGTAACACGATGGGGACAGACTGGAGATGTGGGGGCAGAGAGGCCAAGAGGCCAGTTCCTAACACAGGACTCATCTCAATTTAGGGGAACACAGAATGAGCATGGAAGACTGCTTGCAGCTGCTGCACAGCAAGGCTCACCATGGAGGCCTGGCTGAGGACGCCATACAACCAGAGCCCACAGGGAGGGCCCAGGAACTACAGAGTGGTACCTGATGATGGTACTAGCCGGAGGGCAGACCTAAGTAAGGACAACATGCTCATCACCCAAACCGGAAAGGACAGGATGGCTGCTCAGTTCCACTGATTCCAAAGCCAGGGGTCTCACAGGAAGAACTGAGTCTGAAAGCCTGAGGGTCCCAGCCCTGAGCCCCAAGTCAACAGGCAGAGTGGGTAACACACAGCAGGATGGAGGCCTAGGCCACAACCTCTTGTCCTCCCTGCCTGTGGGGTCTGGACGCTGCATTTTAGGTGCCGAGAACAGAATCCTGATGGGTCAGAATTCTGCAAGCTGGGTAGATGGAAAAAAGTCTTTAGGGTTTTAGGTTTTGTTTTTTTTGAGATTTTTAGCTGGGCCTGGCGAAACACACCTTTAACCCCAGCACTCAGGAGACTGAGACAGGTGGACCCCTGTGAGTTTGCAGTCAGGCCAGCCAAGGTTGTATAGTAAGACCTCATCTTTTTTAAAAAAAAAAAAAAATTTTTTAATTTTGTATGTGTGTGGGGGTTAGCGCACATGCTACATGAGTGCAAGTACTGGACAAGGACACTGGATCCTCTGCAGCTAGAGATACAGGCAGTTGTATACCATTCAACACAGTGGCTGGGAACTGAACTCAGGTCCTCTGGAAGAGTAGCAATCTTTCCTAACTTCTGAGCCATCTCTCCAGCCCCATCTTTGGGATTTTTCAGTTAAATAAAAGAATGCATGTACACAATGCCAGGCAGATGTGGAAGACGGCCAACAGGAATATGGTAGGAGACACCCTATCTAGGCAGGGCCATGTCTGGACAGCCTCAAGGTACACAAGGGACTGCCAGAGCACCGCAGCTCAGCTTCAGATCCCACTGAGGCATGGGCCCAGGAGCTGGCTGTGTACCCAATACCCCAGTGCCTAGAGGCCCTAGATCCTTTTAAAAATGAAATGGCCACCTCTGTACTCTTAGCTCTGTCTTGAAAGACAGCTTTGAAGGATCAACTGGACCTGATTACAGGCCAGGAGTCAGCTCAATGGGAAAGTGATGCCTGTCTGGGGACAAGCTTCTATGCCGTCAGAGGAGACAACAGGGACAGCTCTACTTCTTGTGTTCTACCAACCCAATTGGTCCCTAAGTGGGGCAACAGCTTGTTCATGTTCAACCAAGACAGCACCCCAAATGACACACTGGCTCTGCAGTGGGCCCAACTCTTTATCAACTAAAATCCAACTAAGGTATCATGTTCCCCAAGGGGCACGTCAGCCAGAAGTGCCATCCTGGGGGGTGGGGTGGAATTTTCTAGGGCATACTAAGTATAACCTCTCCCCCAAAACATGGATGTTCGCTTTTAAGGACAAGTACTTTCCACAGTGCTCTGGGAGCAGCTAAGCCTACAGGGCTCTACCCTCAGGGAGTGGGGGCTGAACTATGGGGTTCGGCTGGGCAGTGCTTTGGTTGAATGAAGTGGAGGCTGAGGGTCAGGTCCAAGGAACATTCAAGACCAAGTCTGTTCCTGGTATAGGCCAAGCTGTCCTCAGACACAAATTCTAGCAAATGGAACAGACAGATAAATGTACATGTGTGTACAATGGATGGGGAAGGTCTGGGGCTCTAAGGTTCAAAGCTAGAGCAAGAATCTGTCAAGCCAAAGGCAGTGCTGGGGCCCGAGTGAAACCCTAGAAATGTACTTGAGTGGGAAACCCCCCACTGCAGCCCCTTGAATCCCATGGGGAATGTGGGCAGACAAGGAGAGACGCAGAGAAGACTTCTGGGGAGACCACTGACTCTCTGCCTTTATTAACCCCCAGCCCTGTCCCCAGGGACCATGTGGCCCCAGCCCTGAATAAAAATGCTGCAAAGACTTAAAGCACAGTGTCAACTCTGCTGTGGTCACAGCAGGAGGGAAAGAAGCAAGCTGATGCCATTCTATGGCTTGACTTCCCTACAGCTGGCTCGAAGGGCCTGTGTCAGGCTGGACACTGGCACCTGGGGAGCATGTGGATGTCTACACAGGGCAGACACAAAGGACAGATGAGCTGGCTGTCTTATCACTTAGCAGGAGCCACTCAAGGGGAGGATACCACCCACCTTCATCCATGCTCATCAGCACTGAAATTCATCTCTCCAGACAGAACAGGGGCCTCTGGGAGCTACAGTGTGAGGAAAAGTGTAGGGAAATAAAAATTGAAGTCTTAAGTAAAGGCCTTGAGCCAGATGTAGTGGCACACACCTGTGATTCCTGTATTTGGAGACTGAGGCAGGAGGAGTACCATGAGTTCAAAAACAACTTGGACTACATAGTGAATCACAGGTCAGTCCTGGTTAGAGTGAGTTCCAGGCCAGCCTGGGTTACAGAGTGAGACTCCGTCTCTTAAAACAGCAGCTGACAGTGTCCTCGCCACTGTGTCTGCCTGCAAGCGCTCCTCACCCGCCTGCCAGCCTGCCATGGCCAGCATCAAGGATCTCGAGGGGAAGTGGTGCCTAATGGAAAGCCAGGGTTTTGAGGAGTACATGAAGGAGCTAGGTGTGGGCCTGGCTCTATGGAAATGGGTGCAATGGCCAAACCTGACGGCATTATTACTTGTGATGGCAATAATATCATTGTCAAAACTGAGAGCATGTTGCAAACAACACAGTTTTGCTGTACCCTGGGAGAGAAATTTGATGAAACTACAGCTGATGGCAGAAAAACTCAGATGGTCTACACCTTCACGGATGGTGCCTTGGTCTAGCATCAGCAGTGGGATGGGAAGGAAAGCACAGTAACACGCAAACTGAAAGACAGGAACTAGTGATTGTGTCGTGAACAATGTCACCTGTACGCAGAACTATGAAGAGTAGAGTAAAAATTTCATCATCACTCTGGACAAGAATTATCAGGAATGAACAGGCCCCGTTCAATGAGCAAGCTGCAACCATCCACAGTGTTTCTTTTCTTTGGTTTCGAGTTTCATTGCTGTGCTCCATTATCTTTATCACAAACATTTTACATTCAATCCATCTCAAGTGTTGATTTAACTACAGTCATATCTTTGGTTAGTAAATAAACATGTTAGTGCTAAAAACAACTAAAATAACAGTAGTAAGTAAAATGAAATGTAAGACTACTTTCTATAGCAGCCCTGCCAGGGCTTACTTCCCTTCTCTCTAGAGCTGTTGGCCCCACAGATGCCTACTCACAGGGGTACAACAGCCTGCACAGGATCTCCATGACCCAGTTCCTTCCTCACCTGAAAGCATAGGACACTGGAGGTGTCCACTGAGACACAGAGCCAAGAAAATGGAGGTGGCCTAAGCCTCATGAAGGAAAAGGGTAGGTGTGATCTGAAAGCCTGATGAGGGTGCTCTCTGACCGAAAAGCTTTGAGGCCACACGTCCACACCGAGGGCAGCTCAGGTACCTTGACCTCCCGCCTCCGGCTGTCCTCATCCTCCTCATGTTCCACCACACCCTGACTTAGATTGGTATAGTTGGCCAGCTTGTTCAGCAGTGACGATACCATGGGGTTGCTGTCCATCTCTTCCTGTTGGTGCAAAGTATCAATCAGCCAGGTGGGAACCAGGTCCTTCAATAGTCCCCCAGCTTCTGATCACCTGCCCAGGCCCCTCTCTCAGAGGGCTATGTGAAGCCCAAGAACCACACACTAAGAGGACTGGGAGTCCTCAGTCTGTGAGCCCCAGGCCACCTGCGCAACAGGTCTGGAATCAGAGATCAGGGTCAGAGGCCATGCTCAGAGGACCCAGGGAGGAGCCAGAGCTTCTGAGATGGTGCAGGGACTCCGAGAGGCTCCTGAAGGCTTTAAGGTACCTGCCAGGGTTGCACATCACATATCAGGTCTAGATAGGCTGAATGGGCCTTGGGCAGGAACACCTTGGTCCTTCCTCAGCAGGGTCCAGTCCGGCAGGTGGCCTTGTCTGGGACCCCCAAAGTGGACTCTTTTACTTTTCCTCATGAAAGTTACTTCCCTTTGTGTAGAAATTAAAATAAAATTACCTCAAAAAGCGCCATATTCTTCCCCTCGAAGTAGCTCTCTCTCTCCACCTCCACATTGTTGATGAATGGACTGTTCTCCCTGGGGTTTCCATCTCCTAAGGGATACAGTCAGGTCAGTCTCAGGAGGAAATGGCAGAAGCACAGACTACAGGAGCTCTGGGAGGCAGGCACCAGGGAGGCCTTTAGCCCAAAGGGCACCTGTGGTCATCAGCCCCCACCTGTGGCCTTGACTAATCACACTGTTTATCCACAAACTCTCTTTCTGCCCACATGTCCATACCCACAGGTGCCTGTGCATCCCTAGCACATACAATGTGGTGTCAAATCAAGCTTAGGGCCACTTGCTTCACATCACCTGCTCATGAGGGCTGAAGGTCATCCCTATTTGTAGGATTGACACCTTTACTGAGGTATATTTTGCTGACCCTCCCTGCCCAACCCACCGTGTTTAAAAGGAAAACTGAAAGGTTCCCCCGCACTTGCAGTAGGACCCGACAGCCCAGGGCTGAGCACTGGCTTCCAAGATCAATGGTTCCCTGTGTGCTGGGGGCCTCATGAGAGGAAGCATCCTTCACCTGGTCTGCAAAGGACAGGGGCTGAACAGGCTCCCTGGCCACAAGCCAACTGGGGTCTTCAGCACCAGAGGCAGGCATGGCTACAGTCAGCCTTCTCAGAACACCCACAAATGAGCCTTCCTGCTACCACCTGCACTCATCCCCTCTGCCTCTCTCTCTGACCCTGAAGCTGCCTATCCCTGTCCATTTCCTGGGGCCACCTGAATGGCTTATGTGACCCTGGGAAGGAGACGTGTCCTGAAACATAGTTCCCTGCAACCCCAACATGCCAGAAGAGCCAGCCCTAGCCCATGTGGGCCCTTGAGTCTGGTGGCTGGCCAGTCAGTAGGTGTGGGACCTAATTCCTTTCATGTCAGGATTCTGGCAGAGATGTGCTTCCAAGGGATTCCTCAGTCCTAGGAACACAAGACGTGCCTCATGCTGCCAGGTTTCCAGCCCAACCTTCCCAACCTCAGTTTGAGATGTACTTAGGTATGTACAATGGCCTTACTGGTACCTCCAGGTACTCAGGGCAAAGGTTGGTCCTCCTGAGTACCCAGCATGTGCTCACTTTATGGGGACTGGGGATACCCATGGGAAGAGGGTCCCACAGAGGAGGGCCTCATGGAAGGAAGGTACCAGGGGGGAAAGTCTCATGGGGGTGGGTAGGCAGCACCTCCTTGGAGCCCTGGCACTCCAACTGTGGGCCAGCTGGCCAGAGCTCAACTCTGGCTTCAAGTGCCTTATGGGAGCTTCCAAGAGCAGCCTCGAGGGTCAAGGGAAATAGGCACAAGGGGCAATAAGAGGGAACAGAAGAAATAAAACAGCCTTGGCAAACTGAGAGGGACCTGGGTTAGGGTGATGCCAGCAAGTCAGGCTCTACAGCCTGCTCCATGCCAGTACCCTACAAGGGAGTTTATAGCTAGGTAGCCAGTCCTTGGAATTCCTTAGCACCCACCCTCAGCTCTGCCTCCTTTTCTACATGTCCAGAGTCAATACCTCAGGAGGCTTGGACACTGAAGGCCCTTGAGAGGTAGGTCCAGGAGCCATCTGTGACACCTTGGAGGCATGGCTTCCTGAGCACAGACTCCAAAACAAAGGCCCTGACCACAGGGCCTGAATAGTTCATGTCCCCGTTGCCAAAGGATGAAAACATTTGCTCAGTCACGTAGAGCTCTTACAAGACCACAGGTGGGTGTCTACAGAGGGATGAATGAAGCCCTGAGTCACCACAACCAGAAGTTTACAAAGGGAGAAGACTTGAAAAATGAACCTGAAGCCTCCCCATTGTGGGTGACCTCTTCCCTCCTAGCAGTAAGAATGAGGCTCAGAACCTCAGGTGACAGAGACAAAGGCCTCGGGGAGGAATGGGAACTAAGTCCTGACGTGCAAAGGCTGAGTCCCTTGCCTGGGCCTGAGGAGCTGAGTAGCACTGAGCGGCTGAGAGCCGGGCGAAGAGTCTTTGCTACTGGGAGCAAAGAACCAGGTTAGAAACAATTCCAAGCACAGACTTCAGCTGGGGAACTCCAAGTCAGTGAGTCACCCTTTCTGGTCTCACATGTGTATAATACTTCTGGTGACAAGTACCTTAAAACCCAAGCATTCCACCCACAGACTGGCCCCATTAATAACTAAATCCCTCTTTGAGTGAAGCACAAGCACCAAGGTTTGTTTTTTTTTTGACAATAGCTTTGAGTTTCAAATTCCTCAAAGCCCCATGGATTGTGCTGGCCAGCCTTCCAGGCATCCTCATACACCTCCCGGACCCCATCAACCCCCTTTCCCAACCAGCTAGTTCAGACTGGATGTTTTTATCAATCTGGATGTCACTTGAACTGAGGGGCGGATGCAGATCCCTGATGCTTACTTGGACCTTTCAGTCTCTGGAGACATCTGATCCAGACCCTGGGACACGAACTCCAATAATCAAGGCCATCAGGGGCCAGGGTGAAGGAACACAAAGTGCTCTGCCCTGAATTTGATACAGAACCACGCCTAGGCCCCAAAAATGTGGCGCCTGATTACTCACGCAAAACCCAAGCTGAGGGAGAAGCCTTTGTTAGGGCCACAGTCCAGAAATGGCTTTGCTCTAATCAGAGATTCCCTCACTGGCAGCCACCCAGATGCCATACCTCAAGGGTTCTCCTAAGGTCCCCGGTCTTCTCTGATTCATGGCCCTCGGACTCCCCTCAGACCACCAGGAGCTGCAGAATGGTAGGAACTAACTACACTGACAGACAGGTCCTCTGGGGAAGAGTCACAGAGCTTCACAAACAGCCAAGAACACCACTACACTGTTCCTCTTTGTAGTATCTGATGGTGTGGGGGCTCTGGGGATTCAGAGGAATGTAGCAGGGCACTGTCCTACCTGGAGCTCTGTCCCACATGCTCTGTGTGCCTTGCATACACTGCCTGCTCTCTGCAGTGGGGGCCTCATACCTCCCCAAGTTTACTCACTCCAGGACCTCAGAACAAGTAGGAGGGGGGCGGGAGTGTATGCCGCATCATGGACTGGAGCTGATACTCTATGGAGCTATATAAATATGGCTGATACTTGGTCCGAAGCTAGAGGCAGACCCATCTATGCACACGTGCTCACCCATGCATATACATACATACATACATACATACTATTGCACACTCATGCACTTATGAGCCAAGGTATACACTCCCTGGGTGCCCCATCAAACTCACACCTGTCCCCACACAGAGCCCCCTACTCAGCATCCTACAGATCAGCCCCTCCTATCTGGAGGCAAGAACCTGTACCCCAGCTATTCCCATGGGGTCTCATCTCATCCAGCCTCATACCCTGAATGTGGCAAATGTGAGACAGCCAAGGGACAGATGAAATGGCACCAAAGGACACAGCAGGTGGATAAGGGCAGGGCAGAACCTCATCAAGTATAAGAGACCCTGGCCAAGAGGGAGTAGAACAGGGTGGCTCAGACCTTCAGAATGAGCCCCAAAACCCCATCCAACAAGCTTCCAACTAACACTTTTTTGCAAGTACTGTCACAGAAAGGGGGCACAAAGCTGGGCAATATGCGCTAGGAACTGGGAGTGTAAGGTGGGCACTGAACTCAGTGAAAGGTAAACAGACATCTGGTTCATAATGCCGGACTTAAGGCAGGAGATGCTTGGGCCCAGGAGAGCCACATTTCCTGCAGAGTTACTCTGCACCACAGCATACGACTGCACAAGGAGTGATGGACCTTCTCCCAGGTCACTCTGTTCTCACATGGGCTCTTCTACAGGGACTCACAGCACCAGCCAAGGTGCCAGTTGTGGGGTCCCTGACCACAGCTCCCAGGATACTGATGTCGCCCTTGTTGACAGGTACCCTTCAACCTACAACCCATGGCAGCTGCGTAGCTCCCGGCTCCCAGAGTGACCCCCCCCCAGTTGGTCTAGGGTCCCTTCAAAAGTGAAAGTGATGTTCAGGCTGAAGTATCTCTTGCCATCTACAGACTACAGTCACCCCGAGTTCTTCACTGTCACCCTAGAATCTACCTATGTCCCAGGAAGGGACATTCAGGGCCAGATAACTCAGAAGCAGCAGCACGCCAAACCTCTCCTCAGAACCCCAATGCCATGTAGCTCTAGTGCTCGGTTCCTGGGAGCTGGACATTGTGAGTGGGACAATGGGCAAGCTCCAAGAATGACTTGTGGGGAGACCACATGCCCATAACTCTTCCCTGCCACCATGGAGCACAAGTATGGCCTGAGCAGTCAAACACAAAGACACGCTAGTGAAACACAAACATACTCTGAAATCAGACCTCCTTCAAAGGAGCAAAATGCCAGCATCCACCTGGATAGCAGGCAGGCTCACTACAAGTGTGGCCCCTACACCCTTGGGCTGACCTGCCAGCATCTCTTACCATCAACACCCTTCCTGCCCATAGACTCCAAAGACAAGAGATGGCCTCACAGAGCTGTGCATAGCCTGCTTTGTCCTGCCTTCCTCCAGGAAAAGAAGCTAAGAACCCTCGCGTAGCTCTGCTCTACCTATGAACGTAGAAGTCTGCTCTCTGCATGAGCAACGGGCAGTAGAATACAGTGCTTCTCCACCTGTGTCTTCCCAAACCAACCACGCTCCTTCAGGGGCCTGGCGCACAGCTTTGGAAACCACACTTAGTATTTAGAAAATGAAGGAAAAACAAAATGTAATAAAAACAGGGTGGGGGCTAGAGGGATGGCGCACTGCTGCTCTTAAGAAGTAACATGGTTTTGGTTCCCAGCACCCACAGGGCAGCTAACAATGGCCTGTAACTCCAGTTCCAGGGGATCTGACACCCTCTTCTGCCTCCGTACCTTGCAGAAGACCCGGTTTGAATCCCAGCACCCACATGGCAGCTAACAATTGTCCGTAACTCCAGTTCCAAGGGATCCGACAGCCTCCTCTCCTCTGCGGGCATTGCATGACACGGGTGCACTTACCTACATGCCGGCAATACACACATACACATAAAATAAAAATAATAATAAAATATTTTTAAAAAACAAGGATAGGGTGCCTTAAGATGAAGCATGAAGAA